ATCTGAGACCTATAATATATTGATGAAAAACAGCATAATAGGGGAAACTTTAATACTGTATTTGTTTCACAGGTTTAGTTGCACGACATGCATAGCATCATCTGACGGTGTGTGTGTGTGTGTGTGTGTGTGTGTGTGTGTGTGTGTATGTGTGTATGTGTATGTGTGTGGGTGTCTTACATTGTATTGGCGTAAGCAGTACCGCAGCTTCTTTAAAGCAGCAGAGCGGTCTTCCCCCCACACCACCAGCTTCGCAATCATCGGGTCGTAATGTGCCGACACCTCGTCCCCTGAAAAACAAACACACGATAAAGGGGCAAAAAAACTACTTTATTTGTCACTTATTCAGAATGATTTACTCTCGCTCTTTAAACGTACAGAGAACAAAGGTCATGGTAGTTTTAGACAGTTCAGCTATTGTAATACCGTTAAATCAGGAAACGTCATAAAGGACTCTAAATCCTGTATCGTTATATAAAGAATTGAAACCCTCAGTATAAAAACAACCACAGTTAGACCTTGACTCCTCACCTTCCCTGACTCCAGTCTCTATGCGCGTGTGTTGGTCTGCTGCCGGGGTGGAGAGGTGCAGCAGAGGCCCCGCCCCTGGGAGGAAGTCGTTGTTGGGGTCCTCGGCGTAGATCCGAGCCTCAAAAGAGTGTCCCCTCAGAATGATGTCATCCTGGAGGAGAGGCAGGCGCTCCCCTGCTGCCACCTGGAGGAGATTTACACAGAGTGTTGGATTTGACTGAAAATGTAACTCCTTCAGATAAAAAGAAAATCTTTGGAGCATATATTCCTCCCTCTTTCTTTGCTCTCTCCCTCCTGTCTCACCCTGAGCTGCCACTCCACCAGGTCGGTCCCAGTGATCATCTCAGAGACGGGGTGCTCCACCTGCAGCCTGGTGTTCATCTCCATGAAGTAAAAGTTGTGCTGGGCGTCCATTATAAACTCCACCGTCCCTACACAGGAAGACAAACAATACGATGTTGACATGCCGTGTGTTGGGAGTGAGGGGCTGTGGGGAGGTGTGCAGGGGTCTCACCTGCCCCTACGTAGTTGACAGCCTTAGCCGCTTTAACTGCTGCCTCTCCAAGTTTCCTCCGAACCTCAGGACTAATGTCAGGCTGAAATCAAGGAAAACAAAATACGTCAAAACATTCAATAATTGACACAAATATATTCCCGTCAGGATATCTGTTTAAAACTATGGATAAATGTGAGAGGTTTACACTATAGCTTTTTTAAACAAGTGCAGCAGTAAACTCCATAAACCTAGCTCACTAACATATTAAAAGAAAGACATACATGTGTGCTCTACCAAGAAAGAAAGAGTAGTAGATTTCATATTTCTTGTTTTAACTTGTATATGTTTACATATGTATAGAATTTTGTTTATCTGTGTGCGTATTTAATTACGGATTTATATTTTTTTCTTTATCCTGCAACTGGATGCCTAGCGGGAGGGCTACCTCAGTATAAGCTGTGCTTTCTGCCCTCCGCTTAAAAAAAAACACTTAATTTTAACCAACATATTTAATGACTTCATACTCAAATAGCAAATCCACATTCAATCTCAAGAGAGATATGCCCGTCAGTGTTCAAATGAAATTGAATTTATGTACGAGTTCCCTCCTGAGTCAGTATTGATTTAGCTCACCCCCGGCGCCTCCTCTATGATCTTCTGATGTCTCCTCTGGACGCTGCAGTCTCTCTCAAACAGGTAGACAACGTTACCGTGCATGTCCCCGAAAACCTGCACCTCCACGTGTCTACAGGAGACATACATTCAATTGTGACTCAATGTGTAAATAAGCATGGAAAGGTGGTCAAACTAACACTAACTGATTGAGTCAAATGTATTATAGTTGTTATTAAACATAACTTTTACCTGGGATCCTCTACAAATTTCTCAACCAGCATGACATCATCGTTGAAGGATTTTCTGGCTTCTCGTCTCGCCGACTCCAACTGTTCCAAGAACACCGAGTCTGACCGTGCGATACGCATCCCCTGAACACACACACAGTTATTCTATGTTTCCTGAAGTTTCTTTGTCAAAGTTATTTAGGCTTTTTGGCATCCTCTGACCTTCCCTCCTCCTCCACGGACTGCTTTAATCATCACAGGGAATCCTATCTGGGCCGCCTCTGCTTGCAGTCTCTCATTTGATTGGTCCTCTCCATGGTAACCACCAATGATTGGCACCCCGGCAGCTGACATGATGTATTTGGATGTGCTAAAAAAGGAGAAAGCATTTAAAATGAGAAAAAGTGAACAATTATTGCTATAAGTGTCAAAGTCAATTTTACTACAGCAAATTCAAATTACATTCCTAATTTATTTATTTTCTTCGCCTAAAAGGGACTTTATAGTTTGTAGAGATAGACCCTCTGTCTTTGGACCCTCAAAGCAGATCAAAAACCTCCACCCAAAAAACTGGGGAAGAAACTTTAGCAAGAGTAAATAATGCCTCCTTTTGAAATCACAAATAATGAATCATTCTAAATAAATGTGGAAAAGATGAAAATGTACATATTTGGTGAGTGTTACCTTTTAATGCCCATGTCTCGGATGGCAGAGGAAGGTGGCCCAATAAATATGATGCCTTCCTGTTTACACGCCTCCGCAAACTCTGTGTTTTCTGACAGGAAGCCATAGCCAGGGTGGACAGCCTGCACACACAAACACGCATGTTTAACAACGTCAAAGTCCCTTGAGATCTCAACGGGAAATAAGACACGAAGGACAGGTTGATAAGACCTGAAAATAATTATCTCCCATTTTATTTTAAAAATACTTCAAGTATGGGGTTACTCACATGTGATCCAGACTTCTTTGCCACTTCCAAAACTTTCTCCATCGACAGGTAACTCTCCTGGGAGGGGGCGGGGCCGATATGATAGGCTTCATCTGCCTACAAAAAACAAAAACAAAGAAGAAATAAGAAAAAAAGACCACAAAGTCTGAGAAGCAGATGTGTACACATTCACACATCTTTTGCAAGACTTAAGTCAGCCATCATCTCACCATGGCCACGTGCATGGAGTCTCTGTCTGCGTCACTGTACACAGCCACAGAGCGGACGCCCATCTTCTTGGCCGTGCGCATCACACGACACGCAATCTCTCCTCGATTGGCAATCAGCACCTTCTCTATCCTTCCCACCTCTGCAGAAAGACAGACACTTTAACGATGAATAATGGTCTACAATTTTACTTTACAGCAGTCAACACCTCACTAACTAATTCAAAACATTGTATAGGGCTTGCAGACACCACTGTCCAAGGTCTGAAGAAAACAGATGTGCTACATGCGGATCAAACAAAACAAAACTGTGCTGTAATGTTTGATCCACAGTGCAAACCAGATACTACAAATAACACATCAGTCAGATAACTAATCGGCAACTTTTTGAATAATCAATGACTGGTTTTAGTCATTTGACAATAAAAACCCAATATCATCTATGCCATCAGCTTTTCAATGTTATCTTTCTGCTTTATAACACTACGATGATAATATCTTTGAGCTGTGAACTGTGTTCAAACAAAACAGGCAATAGCTAATTGAATTGTTGGGACTAGAATTGTTCTATTTTCTTAAGTTTAATAGACTAAATGAAATTGTTAAATAATTAAATAAGCGGCTGCAACAGTATCTTTTTTACTTTAAATAAATAAACTCCTTGCAAAATATACATAATTGTGGTATTTTAGTGCTTAACCTCAGACCATAACTCTGGCTCCCAGAGGGGAGAGCTAAAGTTTGAATACCAACAATGTAACATCTCTTAAATTGCAACACGTCCCCAACTGAGCCATGCTTGTTTATTCATGTGCATATGTCCTCACTCACCTCCTGAAACGAACCTCACGCCTCTTTTGGTCCATGACAATTTTCTGAGGAGAAAGATAACAACAACTTTAGTGCCATTCAAATCTCTGCATGGCTATAAAGTGCGGAGAAGATACTAAATAGACAAAAAACTATTTAAAAAAAAAAAGCACATACAGTTAAGAAAACTGTAGTCTTAATAAATAGGCTGAATGTGATACATATAAAAGACTAGTGTCACAGGTAGAAACACAACAGTGTGCATGGTGTACAAGCAGCAACATTAGCCATGCTAGCTGGCAGTTTGCTACCTTTATTTAACCTTGCTCGGCTCTTATCCGTTTCATTAGCTCGCATAATGGTAAAAAACCTATTCAACAACACGTTGAAGCTGACGGTAAAACAACGTCCTGTTGTCATGTCCAGCCATCACGAGCACCAGCGAATAATAAACAAAGTGATGCGTAGCAATGATAGCTGCACAAATGCATCCATGTTAGCTCAGACGTGGAATAGCATTGCAAACTTGAAAGCTAAAAAAAGGTCAAAAAGATGCTGGTTTGTGTAACACTACGTAAGAAGAGCAGACTGCTTTAGGCAACATCACAACTGACTGAATTGCTTAAATATACTCACTGTGTGAATATCCTCAGACCCTGCAGAGTTGGGAAACTCAGAATAACTGCAGCCATAGCTACCAGCTGCTGAGGTGATAGCTATCTGCTAGCTAACTCACTAAATGACCGGCTGAGGAGGAAAAGGCGAGGTGTTATATTACACAGTTCATACACAGTTTGGTGATGATTTCAAAGAAGCAAACTACTCAACCGAACCATGAATAATATTCCGACCTTTTAAATGTTACACTGGCACTTGTAAAAGCAACAATACAGGTCTAAATATCTGTAGTATTATTTTTGACCTTTTAAAGGACTCGTAGTGACGAGGAGCCAATGAGAAAGAGGGATATGGAGGTGGGGAGGACGCTGCAGGGAGCACTTAGCGCCAGCAGAGGGCAGCGTTTCTCTGTCACACAGGTAGAGAGAATCCCACTTATAATACATTTAAAACATATTAAATGATGGAACGGAAAATAGATGAAAAGTTCTCATTTTAACAAGTATTCTGGTAACACTACAATATTATGCAGTTATGTACAGTATTTCAATTGCTGTAATAACGAAATATTTGTTTATTCAAAATACATTATATTACCAACAACAACAACAACAAAATGCGATGTTCATTTTCTAGTATCTCTGACATGTAGGTTAGCAAGCGTTGTTATGATTATTTACTTAATCATTAACAAGCGTGTGTCAATAAGGGCTCATCTCTTTTATCAATTAACTCTGGAATATGCCACAAATATGAATATTACAACACACAGCTGTGAACAAAAGTTATCATTAAATACAGAATAAAAAGGAAAATAAATGTTAAACCCAATTGTGATGATTACAAATTATAATTGGAAAAAATAATTAAATAATAGTCAAAGAAATAAATGGAACAACATTGTCAAGATTTATAGGCATTAGACCGCTGTGCTTTAAATTAAGGAGAGCTAATTTGAGAACTTTTTGTGACAGTGTATGATGAACTAATATTTTAGATCCAGTTGTCAGAAGTTCAGAGCCTGTCATATCCTTCTCTGTGGTGGTCTTTGATGAGCAGGGAGGTCATCACGGCGATGAGAAAAAGACCCACCACTGTGGCCCCGAGGATGATGGGGATAACTCGCTTGGTAAAGTCAGCCCAACACTCCACCTCTGAAACAACATGGAGAGCAAAATAAAGAAACAAATGAGTACCTTCATTTAGCCATATAATCTGATCTGATGAATGACTTGCAGATATCAATCCCTTAGATCTAAAGCTGCAGTGCAGAGATTCACATTTATAACACGAACATTGTTTTCCATAATGATTAGATCAATAACACAGCAGCAATAAACCTGCTTTAGTTTCAGGATATTTACTGTTAACACAGTCCAATGGGATCTATTATCATTGTGTGTGATTCTCAAAAATCGAATGCTCAAAGTTCACACTATAGATCACATCTGTATCTGGCAAAACTCCCAGCTGTTTTCCTCGATTGAGATTAATCACAGAATGAGGGAAAACTGAAGTGCTTTCAAAGCATGAACATAATGTGATACTGTACAACAGAAAACAAGCCCAATTTGATTTTTAAATCCTTCGGCCTTTTTGAAAAAAATTGGTGCTCATGCTCATTTATCTCTCCATGTGTCTTCAAATGAGTTTGAACACAAGAGAGGAAGCAGACAATACCATATGGGTAGTCAAGCGTGTATTTACTTGTATTCAACAATGTGAGTTTGTAATTGTCTTTTCACTATGATATTAATTACGGTTTTAGGACTAAATGTTGTCATAGTTCTATATCTACCAGCGCAGATACTTTTTTATACAAAGGATATTTTCCCTTGTGCCTAATGATCAACCCATTCACCTTTTCCGTAGTGTCCTTTGAGCAGAGCGAAGGCCTGTATCTGCAGAGGAACCAGCCGGATCCTCAGCTCCGGAGACGTCAGAGGCAGATTCTCAGATTCGCACTTGAAGCTCTGTCCATCAGCTGCTGCAAACAGCTTGCCATTCGTCAACACACCTGAGTAAGTCTTATCTGTGAGGAAAGGATGTTAGACAGGGATGGTTATGTTCTCTGTGTGGGCAGGTTCAGAATCAGAAATACCAGCTAGGCAAGACAAGGCAATTTTATTTATATAGCACTTTTCAGCACGTGGCGATTCAAAGTGCTTTACAGATTAAAAGCAAAAGACATTTAAGAACAAATACAACATAAATACATTATTAAAAAGGCATTTAAAAACAGGCATAAAAAGCAAAGGTAATGAAATAAATTAAATAAACACAGCAGGTACAGAATACATGACTAAAAAGGCATACTGCAGTGTGGGCAGCTCAATTAATAGCAGCTGCAAATAGGTGCGTTTTTAGTCGGGATTTAAAAATAGGAAGTGTTTCGGCGGACGTGCATGATTTAGGCAGTTTGTTCCAAATTGTTGGGGCATAATAACTAAAAGCTGCTTTTCCATGTTTAGTGGTTATTCTCGGAACAGAGAGCAGACCCGACCCAGAAGACCTGAGACTCCTGGATGCTTCATAATGATGGAGTAGGTCGTCTATATACCTCGGTCCTAAGCCATTTAGAGATTTAAAAACTAGCAGTAGTATTTTAAAATCAATTATTTGGCAGACTGGAAGCCAGTGTAATGATCTCAGAACCGGAGTGATGTGATCCACTTTTCTAGTGTCAGTGAGTACTCGAGCAGCAGCGTTCTGAATCAGCTGCAGCTTTCTGATAGATTTTTTAGTGAGCCCTGTGAATACACTATTGCAGTAGTCGAGTCTACTGAAAATAAAAGCATGGACAAGTTTTTCTAAATCCAGTTTCTAAATCCTTGATATATTCTTCAGGTGGTAGTATGCAGACCTAACTGTTGTAATGTGACTGTTAAAATGCAGGTCTGAGTCCATCACTACACCCAGATTTCTTGCTTTGTGAGTTACTTTGTAGTCTTCCGACTGAAGCTCTGCGATTACTTTTAATCGGTCCTTCTTTGCTCCAAAAACAATGATCTCAGTTTTTTGTTTGTTCAATTGGAGAAAGTTCTGAGTCATCCAGTCAGTGATGTGCTCAATGCACTTGCTCAGTGTTCTAATCGGAGAGTAGTCTCCCGGTGTAATTTTAAAATAAATCTGGGTGTCGTCTGCATAGATGTGATAGCTTAGATCGCTCTTTTTAATAATTTCAGCCAGAGGTAGCATATAAATATTAAAAAGCAAAGGTCCTAAGATGGAGCCTTGAGGAACCCCGCATTACATATTTATCAGGGTTGATTTGTAATTGCCTAAATTCGCTAAATGTCATCTCTCTTTTTATCTCTTGATCTGGTCTTACTGGAACATCCTTGGCAGACAGGCAGAGGAGACACGTGAGCGGTCAGATTGGAGACGTAGAAAATATTCCCTTTCTGGAGACAAAAACAAAAGAGATTGAAGCTGATCCAGTAATGCATGAATTCTGACATTTTTTTTCTAATGAACATTACTTTATCTGTTGATGTGAATGTTTTGGATGTTCTATTGCTAATAGTTCCATAATCACTGCATTTATGAGGTGTTTTCTAAGGCATTAAAATTGACATGATGGTATGAAAAATTTACTAAACTAAACTTAAGTGCTCATATAGATATAACGGAGTAAGAAATACAAGTTTTGCCTCTGAGATGTAGTGGTCTAGAAGTACAAGTTGCATAAAATCAACACTCAATTACAATTACCTCAAATGTGTATAGTACTTGAGTTTAAGTATAGTCAATTTACATTCCACCATTGCCTGCATATCTCCGGACAGTGGAAGAAAATGCACACTTTGAAGGAAACAGGGATGTATGACATTTGGTGTACCTTTCTGAAGGTGAGCTGCAGACTGGCAGCATTGTCAGGCAGTGTGAGAGAGAGGACAGCAGCTTCTTCACCACAGGACCCCCCCGTCCTGACCCTGGAGGGCTCCAGGTTGTAATACCAAGCCTTCTGAATGCACACAGGAGAGAAATATGACTTAGACAGTGTCAGATTTCATTGTCTCCAATCAGTCACCAGACAAGTACTGGAGCAAAAAAGAGTTAACATTTAAATGTTAATGTATCACCTCCACCAGAGCACACACGTCTTGTTATTTGTTTTTAAATAGATTGTTACGGACATTTTTGTTTTCTTTTGTTTGTACAGTGAAACAAACACTTCACTAAGACATGCAGAAATGAACACGCACACTGGGCGAAATGTGCTGAAATACTAAAAAAAGGACAAAAATACACAGAGGAAAACACACACGCACGCATACTGTACACCCAAACACAAACTAACCTTTTTTTCAATGACAATGTACTGTACTCCCATGGTGGCTTTTATGCAGGATTTTCCCACATGCTTGTAGGTCCCTGTGCACAAACACACATAGAAATATACATTACAGTTTTTCTCGATTGCTAACACACTAAAATTCTACATAAAGCACAATTATTTTAACTGACACTCAAAGAGCAAAACATCGGCTCAAATCTCCAAAACTCTAAACACGTTTTCAGCTTTTCACACAATTTGCAAATCAACATGGCACTTTCTGCAAACCACTGCACACGTTTCTCCACGTAAGACACAGGAATCTGACATGAAGTCACGTGTTAGCAGGTTTAAAACACTGATATTCAAAATGCCTCACACATGGACCAATGATCAAGAAACACGTTCCACCTGACCAAACACCTGATAGCATAATTGTTGGCGCATCAATCAAGATGTTAGCACTATACAAAGACCACAGGTGAGTACTTTCTTACAGCAACAATGGAAGCCAACATAGAAGCAAGAGGAAGAGGAGAGGAGGAGGAAGAGTACTCTCTAATGAAATTAAATGTTATCAACCAATGGTTTGACGATGAGAGAGGCTGGACACAGGGTTCAGCCTAATCTAAGCCGATTTACTGTCGCCTCTGTAATCCGGACACTTAGACTTGAAAACAGGTTAGTTCCCAGTTTGTAGCTCTGCATAGTTCATGATATATCAGTGCTTATGTCTGTTGTGTGAAACGTATTTACTTCATTACTGTCATTGAATTGTTGGCATGTTGCATACTATAACTGTAAAACATCCTGCACAATGTACTGTGGTAAACTTACTTTCATGCAACACAGACACTGACCAACCACTACATCTTTGTTGTTTATCTGAAGGACTGAGAAACAAAGAGGTGGAAGGCTAAGGATGTTCAATGAGGCACAGGAAGCAGCAGTTACAAACTGGGTTTTGGCAAACAATGCATCACAGAGAGATCCGCAGCATAGTAGCTATGTGCTGAGATGCATGTTGCACAATGTTATTTTTGAATAAAATGTGATTTATTTCAACAACTCATTTGTATTTCTTCATTTACTGTATTTCTGTAAACTCAAGCAATCTTTCTCTGCAGAAACCTCTCTGTACAGAGCATAGCCCATAACAGAGGAAAGTGCTTTGGATGATGCTCAGCAGTGTGTAGTTGGGTGGTCAAACCATCTAGTATTAAGAATGAAGTGTGTTTTATTTGGTGCTAAAGTTTGCATTTGGAAAGTGTGTATGTAGTTATGAGTGCAGTTCTTCATTTAGCAGGAGAAATTAGGAGTTTGCACTTTGGGTGTGTGGTTTTGTGAATTGTGTTTAGTGTTCTGAGAAACTGAGCAATTTAAAAAGAAAATGTGTGTTATCAATCGAGAAAAACTGTATCTCAAAGGGATTGGTGTGTACCTATTGGAGGGGCGGTCTCAGTGGGCTGCAGCGCCGGCCTGTAGACGTGAGGCTCAGACGCAGGCTGGACAGAGCGCTCATTTTCCTGGAGCTGGACACCTGGGGGAGAAGAGACGTGTCACTATCAACATCTGGTTATCTATTTTATACATATTGCACACAGCAGACACATATTCAGTTATGTGCCAAGAAACCAGCCAGCACACAGACATGCTGGAATGCTCGGTATTTGTCCACGTTTGTTAACCTGCCTCTAACAGAATCTTGGATTGGACATTTTTGCAGAAAGTCTAAATAGAATAGGAAAACAAAAACATTTTTGCCAGGCATGTCCACTTTGCAAAAAGTACATTTTACTTGGTAAATTACTTGGTTATGAAGTAAGAATGAGGCTGTCTTGACATTGGTTTAAAGCAATAATTACAGTAATTGAACAATTACATAATAACTAGGGCTGTCAAACGATTACAATTTTTAATCAGATTAATCACAGCTTAAAAATTAATTAATCATGATTAATCACCATTCGAACTATGTCCAAAATATGCCATTTATTTATGTATATTGTTGTGGGAATGGAAAGATAAATGAAAGAAGGCGGATATATCCATTTAACATACAGTATCTATGTTTATTATAACATTTTTCTATGTGTCAAAATGAAAGACAACCCACACACCTATCAATCACCAAACCGTGGGGTTTTAATTCATTACGTGTTGATTTCTATCAACGGGGGAGTACTTCAGGAAAGTCGACAGGGGGGGGGGCGGCGGCGGCGGCTAGTGGAGTACTTCGTGACCACAGAGTGTGAACGTTGTGATCAGCTGTTTTAGCTCAGTTCTCCAGTGAAGGGGGGGAGTCTCCCTCCGCAGCCGGTTGGTGTAGTTTTAGCACAATTCCGTTGTACAGACCGACGTTAACAGCAGCCCTGTCTGTGCACACGGAGACCGACTCTGTCGTCCGGTGATCTAACCGCCTTCTGGAAAAGCTTCACAAGTACGTCGGTACGCAAATGCGCTTTGTGACACAAGTGACGGTACGCATTTCAGATTACGCACATAACCTGCGTACCAGTTATGTGCACCCCTGTACTACAGCAAAAGTATTCTCCATCGGGACTTCCTGCAACAACACCACGCCGTTATCAAAGATGTTCTATTGGGAAGACGATCACTACGTGACAAAAGTTTTCAAAACCGTGGCTACTGAAATCAATCTTACTAACTGCTGTCTGTGCAATTTACTCCGCGTGAGTTGGCAGACTTTATTTTGCTTACTTTAACATCATTTTTCATGGTGGGGCTAAGCCATTTCTTGGTATGGCTGTAGCCTACCCCAGCCATACCCTGGCGCTGCCACTGGTGGCACGTATGGGGCGGGCCATTCTGCACATGCGTTAAATGCGTTAAATATTTTAACGCAATTAATTCAACAAATTAATTACCGCCGTTAACGCGATAATTTTGACAGCACTAATAATAACACATTGCATGAAAGCTGCTGCTGCAAACCTTGTCCTCAATGTTTTTATCTCAGTTTATTTTCATACCATCTGTATGCTTTTAACTGCAGATTAAGAAAGAAAGAAACATGTGTTAAACCCTTAAATGTAGATTTCTGTGTGAGAGAGGAAACCAGAACATCCTCATTTATGACAAAGCGCATTTACAAGAACTAGGTTTTCACAGAGAAGGCAACACAGCGTTATGAAGATGACTATTGTATTTCAAATTAAGAAATATAAATTAAGAAATAATCAGTTAAAATGTCTCAATCACATGTTCACTCCTATCATTATTACTTCCTTGCATGCACAGTACAGTAATACTGAATGGGGTCCTTTGTAACTTTGTGCCAAGAGACACTTGGAGTTCAGCTCTGGTTTCAAATAACAGTTTAATTTTGTTTTGAGGACAATCCCACAAATTGATCTATAAAATCTAACAAGATTCTAAATCTCAAACCATTTGTTATACTTTAGTGGATTTGAGGTAAAAGAACATCACAACAAAAGAAAATATCCTTTAGGTTATTGTTTTTAACTTTGCATTACCTTTTTTAAGTTTTATTTGAGTTTAGTTGTGTGGGCAATATGGATGTGAAAACCCTTTCTGTTATCTGGAGGAAGTCTCCCATAAATGCTGCATTGAGTTGAGCAGTTGACCAGTCTGTGGAGAAGCGCACTATAAGGGTGTAATGAGATTAGAAAATCAAACTTACCTGCAATAATAGCCAGGATTATGAGACACCATCCACCTGTTTGAGCCTTTAGCATCATAGTCAACAGAAAACAGCAGAAAGGAGAATAATGCAGCAGTGATGTGATGGGAGCCGTGTGAGTGCTTCAGTTGTGGTTTTGCTTCTAAATGTGAAACTGTCGACCACCTTGACACCCAAAGGAGCCGTGCACAGGAAGTGCAGAGTCACAGGAGGCGGTGAGCTGACACCTCGGATGGAAACTTTATGATGGTAAAACTCTGAGTCAGAAGCATGTAGCTCTAACTTTATGTGCTAAATATGTCACCTTGACAACATGTTGCTTTTGTTAGTGTCTTAGAAGTTGGGGACTTTGAGCATTAACAACAATATGCATATTTCTAAAGTTACAACACTGCCTTTCATGTGTGACTGATGTTATATCTTAATATATCAGTTATCTAATTTAATTCATTTAACTTATTTATATTATGAACTTGTTCTTTGTTTCTAATACTTGAATGTAGGAATATAGTTGTAACATAGTATTTTTACAGTGTGGTATTGTTTTACTAAAATAAAACATTTGAGTAGGCCTACTTACTGGCTTGGTTAAGCTACACTGCTGCTGCTGCTGCTGCTGCTGCTGCTGCTGCTGCTGCTATACTGTTGGTTTACATTGAAATATTGAATCGAAACTAATTTGTTTTATTTGAATATTTTGTAAAGTAAAAATAACTAAATAATTTGAGTTTTCCTTTATCCTTTTATTAAAATGTGACTCCTCTTAGTAAAATTGTAACGATAAAATGTCTAAATAACCTATGTTAGAAATGTGTCAATAAGAGCACTTCAATATCCCACATTTTGTCAAAGAAATCCATAATTTTAACCAAGACAAGGCTCTGTTTTCTTTGGAAATTAACTCCATGTTTTCATTTATTCCCGTATTTATTTCCTTTGTCTATGTTTTACCTTATTGATATACCAGGTGATTTATCTACGGAGAACTCAGCTACCAGTCAAAACCTCCTGAATGATGAAGAATTAAGTAATCCTTGGAAGTTATGAAAGGCATACAATTCTGTCTTTTCTCATTGTTTTGATTGAGGGACCCCTAGTGGCAGTAAATAACATTCGATGCCCTAAACTTAGAAACCTCTGGAGGAGGTCTCCGTTTGCGTCCCATCGGTTGGCATGTGAACTCAGTGAACTTGGTGTATTCCTGTACAGAGGCTGCACATAGACACAGCAAACACAATGTCTGGATGATACTGTCATTTATGGAGTGTAACATCTGTGCAGCTTTCACCTCATTTCACTGAGGACCTGTGAGGAAATCAGAGTGGTAGAGGCCAAAGGTCGACAGGGACAAAGTACCAGTGAAAGCACACAGCAAGCAAACACAAACACACACACAGACGCACGCGCACACACACACACACACACACACACACACACACACACACACACACACACACACACACACACACACACACACACACACACACACACACACACACACACACACACACACACACACACACAATGGCCCCTAAACACGTACAGTTAGTTATGTTTATGTTCCAACATACATGCTTCTTTGTGTGTTAAAATGTGTGTGTGTGTGTGTGTGTGTGTATTTAGGTATTAGAGCGTTTGCTCATTTAAATTCACTAGGAAGGAAGATGTTACCTCTTTAAATACTCTCCCCTTTCTTGGATACTGACAGTCGTATTGATTTGACAAGTAGGAGGGCAAACTAGAGAGCAAACATTTACTCTCCTTTTACCGACTGAGCGTTTTGAGCATCCATGTGTGTGTGTTGGTGTGTGTGTGTGCCCTCCTGTCCCCTGTGTATGTGTCTATCAGTGTGTCATCATTTTTCCCAGGATACCCACCCACAGTTTCAGGAGAACTTCACTCATTCATTTATCTCTTCAAGCACAGCGACATCGACAGCAGGCATTCACCTTCATAAACTGTAAGTAATGCTATATTAAATATTTGCATTAAATCATTTTGAAAGCTTAAAATTGTTTTTGATTCAGCCAGAAATAAGACATTTGCGACTCACGCTGCTAGGGTAAGAAGGTCATTTCGACATGAAATACACTTTCATTACATTGGTAAACTGTGGATTGATGTGTTCACTATCTGTTGTTATATTTACTGTTATTTCCTGTGAAGCAGAGCAGAAACATCCATCAGGATCAGACGATGAGGAGCGGAGCGGGGCTTTGTGTGCTCGGCCTGCTGTGCCTCCACAGCTCAGTCTATGGCCAGGTAAGCAGAAAGAAATCAGAAACCCTACTGTAGCTACAACCTTCTTGCATTATGAGAATACACTGTGAGCAAAGTCAAATTGTTCATATAGTGAACTTGTTTAGTTTTTAAAATGTTATCTGTAAAGTAACTGGTAACTGTCAGATAAATGTTGTGGAATAAAGAACATTATATTTCACTAATGAAGGAGGAGAAAATTCAAGTCCTCACCTTCTTGTCAGAAACATCAGGATCTGATTATATATTTTCTTTTCACCGGAGGCATTGGAGGTGCAGCCTGGCGTTCTGATCTTCTGTGACGACCCGTCTGTGGACAGAGCCGTCAGCAGCGCCGTGAACAAGTTCAACGAGAGGCTGAGCACCGGACACAACTTGGCCCTGTTTCAGATACTGTCAGCCAGCAAGGTACAGGGATGGAAAAAATGATGTGTGTGACATGCTACTGTAGGTTTTTTGAGGAAAATGGTTACTCTTACAGTGTTGCATTGTTGTAGATACTGACACTGTCCTACTTGTAAGAGGGACTCAGTTAGTATTAGACATACTAACAATGAAGGGTGATCAATATAGTCAATACATTTAAAAAACAAAAGGGTGAAATGTGCAAAACTAAACATTTTGAATCTGCTCGACACCATAATGCTGCTAAAGAATATAATACACACATTGGCAATAACTAGGACAATGCAATTATTTCATGAGCTTTATTGAGGTTTTAACTGTTTCACCTATTATAAAATATAATAATAATATTAACAATAATAATAATTCATACATGTGGCGATTGTGGACTCCTGATTTTTTTTTTAAAGTATCATATTAGAGATGAAACTGGACGGTGGTGAAACAACAGGAACTAAAGCTGTGGGATGATAAGAAATGTAAAGAAAACATGTTTACACACTATGACCTCTGGTACACTGAACATGTGTGTGTGTGTGTGTGTGTGTGTGTGTGTGTGTGTGTGTGTGTGTGTGTGTGTGTGTGTGTGTGTGTGTGTGTGTGTGTGTGTGTGTGTGTGTGTGTGTGTGTGTGTGTGTGTGTGTGTGTGTGTGTGTGTGTGTGTGTGTGTGTGTGTGTGTGTGTGTGTGTGTGTGTGTGTGTGTGTGTGTCCAGTCAGAGAATGGCTCGGACTCAGTGTACTCACTGCAGTTCACCACCAGGAGGAGCGACTGTCTAGCTGGCAGCAATAAACCCTGGACTGTCTGCGACTATCTGCCCAACGGAAGAGAGGTAATAATGAGAGAGCAAAACAGCTGCAGACATCCATGGGTTTGTTAGCAGTGACACACAGTAAAAATCTACAAACAGTGCCCAATGACTTTCCAGCGTATTTAGTTTACACAGGAAATACATTCAGAGTTAAAGGTCACCTATTATGCAAAATCCACTTTTTCATGTCTTTTCTACATAAACCCCTCTGTGTCCCCTCTGTGTAAAGACATTCTGAAAGTTTCAGGAAAAAGGATTATCTCTCTTTTTCTCCTGATCCATTTATATAAAAACCTGTCTGAAAATGTGCTGATCAGATTTTGCCACTTTATGATGTCATAACGATTTTTTTGGCTCGTGTAACCATTAACCAATCACCAACCAAGGTAACACCCGCCCACCTGATCACCTGAATCTCCTCCTAGAGCCCCATTGTGTTCTTTTTAACCAAATATCTCAGAGGGGCGTGGGGAGTGACTCCTTAAAAGACAGAGAATCAGCACTTCCGAAACAGGGCCGAAACAGAGAGGATTATGGGATGCTACAATGCATGATCTGTTTGGTATTTGGAGCCAAACACTTCAGAGCCATGTTTTGTATATAACTGCGACATATAATATACTGATGAAAAACAATATAATAGGGACCTTTAAGGGAGAACAACATTTCTTAAATTGGTAGCAATATGTTATGTAAAGGCATGGATTATACAGTCCTTGATTAAAACAAATTAAATCATCCAAGCTGTTTTTCTTTTCAGAAACCAATTTCATGCAATGCCACTGTCTACATGACAGAGACAGAGGCAGACACTCGACAGGTGGATTGCCTGCTCGGTGAGTGAAAATAACCAAGTGTCATATTATTGTTTTATCAGTTATGACACAAGAATATCCAGCTTTTTTCTCAAAGAAATAAGAAAAGATGGAGAGGGTTAGTTCTATCTAATCCACCATCACCAACCAAACCTAGAACTATACTTAAAACAAATATCTAAAGTAATTAAAGTCTGGAGATAAAAGATAAAGCCTTTTCGTCTTGGGTTTCCTGCAGTGTGAAAAAAATATTGAACATTTGAGATTCAAGATTCAAGAACTGAAGCGACCCTTCAAAGCTAGTAAAACAGAGACATAAACAGGATAGTAATAAATACATCCAAAATAACTACTTTTGTTGGCATAAACCTGAACTAAATTTTAGAGAGAAATGTCTTTCAAAATGATCGAAAGTATACTTTTTAACTTAGACATATGATATTACATGCAGGCACAGTTGATCAATACTTTAATTTGTTGTCATGTGACGCTTCATATTTACATACATTTACTCAAGTACTTTATAGGAACACATTTCAGGTACCTTCATATTCTTAAAGTTTATCTTGCATGGGAAGATGAACATCTGGTGTGCTGATAACGTTCCCTATGACTCTGTTTATTAGTGGAGTGTATTTCTCATTAAGAAAACAGTGATTCATTGAGGAAAGTGTAACCTTGTGGGCGCAGGCCCAGGGCATACACAGAGAAGCTGATTGTGAAATATAATTTTCAGATACAGAGAGAGAGAGAGAGCAATATCAACTTGTGATAGTCTAGACATTAATCTTTGCCCAACCAGCCCACTGAAAGCTTCCAGTAAACAGTTGTTTTTCTATCCAGCCAACACAATGTTTTGCAACTTTTAAAGGCACAGCTTGGAAAAATAATACTGGTATTGTTTTGTAGATTACTTCAATTGGATCTGGTCTTACAGAAATTAGGTTTTGTGGTTTGAATTAACCGCATGATTAGCCCAGTCAATCTGCTGTCTTCACATTCTTTATTTCTATCCACCATCTTTCTCTTCTCCAGATGATTACGTTGTCCCAGAGAAATATATCTGTTTGGGATGCCCGACAGACATCGATGAGAACTCAGAGGATCTCAGGGTTCCTCTCTCTGTCTCCATCTCCAAGTATAACTCCATATCCGACTCTACTCACCTGTTTACCCTGCACTCTGTGGGCCCCTCCACCAGACAGGTAGAAACGGGTTGATATGAGGAGGGAGGTGAAGATCAAGAGGAGAAGAAGAAGGTTTTTCTTTACTGTCTGCATCTGTATCTGTTTCCCTGTAGGTCATCGCAGGATTCAGGTTCAAGCTGAGTTTCGATATGAGGAGGACCACCTGTCCCAAGAGTGAACACAAAGACCTCAACGAGCTGTGTGTCCCTGATAGTGAGAATGTGGTAAGCACTGACATAGTCTTTGTTTCTTTGTTGTTGTTGTTGTTGTTGTTGTTGTTGTTGTTGTATGTGGTCGTTCTGTGTCTCTATGTGGTTGTATTTTGTGTCTTTTTAGTTGTTTTGTGTCTTTCTGTCGCTGTTACGAGTCTCCTTGTTGCTGTTTTCTGTATCTTTGTGTTTGTTTTGGTTCTGAAAGTGGTCGATATGTGTCTCGTTGTGGTCATTCTGTGTGTCTTTGGGTCATTGTGTGTCCTTTTGTTGTTGTTGTGTTTCTTGATGGTGGCTTTATTTGGCTTTGTGTGATGTTGCGTTCTTTATTATTTTCTTTTTCGTCTATTGTGTCTCTCAGTGGTTGTTTTGTGTCTCTGCCCCATGACCCCTATGTTATCCATCCAATGCTCCACGTTTATTAGACTGATGTGTCTCTCTCTCTCTGTTTGTGTGTAGGAGTTTGCCAACTGTAACTCTACAGTGGATGTAGCACCATGGAGGTTTGAGGTCCCACAGGCCAATATACAGTGTGAACAAGGGGTGCTGCCCACGGTGAGACCCACTTCCACAAGATGCTCAAACATTCAGCCTGTTTTAGAAATTGAATAAAGAGCACATCGACTTAATTGAATCTATGATAAACAACTCTATTTTAATTTAAAGTAAAAGTACTATATAAAATAAGTTTTACCTGTCAGCTCTCACTGCTCAAATACTAGATAGTGATATATCTTGAAAGTGAAATGTAGACATTCGAGTTTGTATGCTGTAAATAAAAGACAACATGCAATATGCCAAATAAGATCTATCACAGTTACATACTATAAGATAAAAAGGATAGACTTTGTAAAATAGGATGTCCAATACTTTTTCATCTTTCCCATTTTACAATTCAATCACAATACTTTCATTCTAAAATGTAAAACCGTCCAGTTGCTAAGTGTCTTACTGTATTCCTTCTCCAGAAGTTTATCAGGCGTCGTCCCCCAGGCTGGTCTCCTCTCAGGAACATCCTGTTAGAAGTCCCCTCCACCACCTCGCCTCCAACCAGCCCACCCCCCACCGGCAAGGCTTCGGCCAACGAAGAGTCTTCTGAGGAGGACACCACTGCATCCAAACCCCCCTCCTCCCCGGACATGGGTGCAGAAGCTGGGAACGACAGCCCCTTCCACTGCCCGTCCAACCCCTGGAAACCTTTCAACCCCATCCCCCCCGCAGCACCCACACATGGCCTGGCAGAGGAGGCCAGCCCCCAGCCCCCAGCAAAGGGGGGCTTCAGTGATACAGACCTGCTGGGATAAATTCATCCTCAAAGGAAACACATTTGTATTCAAAATGATCTCACTTTTTACTCCCTCCAAACACAGCTTTTTGTTTATTTAGACTAGTTCTTTATTTTCTGGGATGCAGCACATTTTTCTTTAAAGAAACACAAATTTAAGATGCAAAAGGTTGATAAAATAACCAGTTCAGGTGAAAGCAACTTGTTTTTGGGACCTGTTGTTTCTTTGAAAGCACTGGAGAAAATTACTGAAATGATGAAAGAGCTCTAAACTGTTAAAGATAATCAGTGTCAGTTTCCTTTGAGTAAATCAAAGTGTCTGGTTTATTAGAGATGTGAGAAAATAGCATGTGTCTTTTCTTCAAAGGGAAAGATCTGCACGAAAATAAGACGTTGTTCTTTGTGCTGTGGTTAAATGTGAATATAAATGCAGCTAATCGATGATGTGTTTCTTTCTGTAAAATTCTCCTGTACTCACGGACTTATCCCTTTGACTTCCTATTATCATTTCATCAGCCTAAATTATCTTACTGGTCTTTTAACATTGTCAACATCCGGATGAAATCCTTTGGATACCCGGAAATCTTCTTTTCAAGCCCTGGAAATGAATAAAATAATTAAAGTTATTACATTTGAACATGTTGGCGATATAATTCATTGCATTATTCAATCCAGTAAGACTTTGTGAAGGCCTGCTGTAGAGTGAAACTGCAAGAGGGGAAAGTACGAGCAAACAGAAGCGGGTGAATGTTTAACACATTTATTTGTACATCTTCACAAACACTCAGATGACCAGTCAGTCGGTCAGGGTACAAATCTTTACCCTGCGAGCCCAAAGGAAATAGTTTTCTTTTAATAAATGCAGGTTATTGTGACTATGAAAATGTTCCTATAGGAGTAAACGTAAGGCATTCATTTCTAAACATTTGTATGGCTGCTTAGCAGGCTGAATATGAAAACTAAAACAATGAAAAAGAATATTCCTCTCATGCAGGTAGGCTGTGGGAAACATGGCTCGATGTACATTCATTCATAGTATAGATTAAGGTCCTGACAGCACGGCATGTTGAGGACATATTAGAGACACACTAGTGTAGTTTAGAGCACTGCATACAGAACTGAACATTAAGCTACAGACAATTTAGTCGATATTTCCCTTTAACATTTAGGATACTTCAAAAGCAAAATGATCACTAATGATCAATAATCTTATTGATTAGTCATACTTGCTCTTGGAAGTACAATAGTTTAAAACCCTTGACATTCATTCTGTTCAAAGCCTATTCAAAGGCTTCCTAGCAATGCAATTTGTATTAAAAACAAAAGCAGTAACAGTGGCTTTTTAACTGCTTTAAAGAAACAATACAGTTCCTACAGGTGGTGGACAAACTAACACCTGTTGATTATGTTTACAGATAGTAACAGAAACAAATTTGAATATCATAAAAAACAATAGGTTTTCACAGAGCAGTAAACACTGCATGGATATTGCATTGAATTGCATTCTTATTTCCTGTGTGTTTGTTATTATGTCCACTGGTTGTCTTCAAATCATAGCTAAAATATTGTGATTGTATTAGCAGGGGCAAACTGCAGATGAATGGAAACAGGACCTCCCTTCCCTCACTAAATCTCACAGTATTTCTCAGCACACAAGCGGGTTCAAAGATATTCAATAACTCCACATTCTGAGAAAACAGCAGGTAAATGATAATGTATCATTGTGTAGATTGTTGATTCATACCATTACACATTTCGGTGTTTTCAATGTTGCTTTAAAGTCAAAAGGGATAAAGCATGGGAGCCACCACAGCCTCCACAGGTGGAAAAACAAGTGCAATACTATTGCAGATACCCTGTACAAATTCAGTGCATACATTGAGGACAAGCAGAACTTGAGACACATAATCATGCTGTCTGTGAGAGCTATCACTTGGACCTAATTTTCATGAGTTTGAGGCTCAGGATAATGAAAGAACAATACATATATATTTGTAATACTTTGCACCTGGAATTTGGCTCTAGAACAACATTCATCACTTCAAGAAATACTTGTTTCTTCACTCATGTATAACTGTGGCATCAATAACCACATTATTAAACAAACAGCCCTGCTTTAACACACACACACACACACACACACACACACACACACACACACACACACACACACACACACACACACACACACACACACACGCTCTCACAATCAGTACTAAATAGACAATGCACAGCAACTCAACTTAAAAACAAAATACAGCTGCGGTTCTGATATGCAATATCTCAAGTAAAACATTTACAACCGTATGAAAAGTTCCCTCTCACTTATGTTTCCTAACAAACAATTAAAAAGTGTCATCTCACACATGTAAGCTACATACACACAGTGTGGGTTTTCATTGGAGCCTGCCAATGAAGCTCTGCATCCTGTACAGAGAGACAATGAGTTCACACAAACATATACATGTGAAGAGATAATAATGACAGTAACACTGCAGGTTGTCATATATGAGCTCAGGATAGAAAACAAAGCAGTCTGACTGCAACTCTACATACATACGGCTAATGCTGCTTCAAAATATACAAACTGGTTATCCTGACATGCACACTAGGCTAATGTTCTTCTCACAGAGTCCTTCTGGACAAAAAGGCTATTTTAAGGTGCATACACCAACCTCTTCTTTTATATTTTAAGATCAACTGATATGCCTACTTCCTTCCAGCATTATCTTCCACAGGCCTCAGTGAACCTGTGTTTGGCACATTGAGAGAAAGAAGAGAAGAGCTCTCTGCCGATCACCTCTTGTATGTTTAGTGGCACTGCATTTGACACTTTAGAGAGAAACCATAAATGACGCAAAAACCAGAAAAAGAGTGCACATATTTGACGGCTCAATACATTCTAGCCACTAATGTTGCAGTAATATGACAACACACAGGTGTGCCATACCAGAACAGACACCATTTAGGCTTTTCCATACAATCAACAGTTGGGAAAAGTGCATACTTCCTTTTTCACTGGCAGATCTACTTTCAAACAGAAGATGATCATTTAGCCATGAGCACATCCAAATATATTTCTAGGTACACCTTAGAGGTGTCAGGGGCTCATGATGCTGCTCTGAGCTACTTTTGTTAAATAATACTCTCTCCTCAACAAAGCTCATCATTTGACACGTTCTCAACTGGCTAAGCTTACAGTCAATCAGGGCTTTCTGTTTACAAAAACACATTTTATAACTAATACCAATCTCAAAAGACAAGGTGACTTTGGTCAATGGAACAAAATCAAAATCCCTGTCTTTCAATGAAATGTGATTGTGACGATCACTATAGAACTTAAGAGTGGCTTAATCGAGCTACCAGATAAAAAAGCATGTTGATATCAGTTGATAAAACGATGTTAACATGTCCAAAGAATGGCGCTAACGTCTAATTCAGAAATGTCCCCTCGTCCTCTGCCTAAACACACCACAGCTGAAGGAGGTAGAGACTATGCTTCCTCTACAGCTATATATCACTCTATCTGCTTACTATTGAGCGATCCAATGGAATTTGTAAAGGCTATTTTGTTTTGACTTAAAAATGTTGAAAAACCTACACGCTCATATGTTTCCGTTGGGGAGGATATGTAAAAAGTTTGGAAAATAAAGAGCAAGGATTTAGGGCGGCTGTGGCTCAGTGGATAGAGTGCTGGACTTCAAATCAGGGGGTACCAAGTTCGAATCCCACTGCAGTCAGCATGTCGTCGTGTCCCTAGGCAAGACACTTTGCTGTGTGTGGGGATTGTCCACAGTATTGAATGTATGGAAGTCGCTTTGGATAAAAGCGTCTAACAAGTGACATGTCATTTAGAGAGCATTGTTCAAATACTGCCAGGTTTATTACATGCTCAGTGAAAGATGTTATTCAAATAAAAACGGATAAACATATATAAATGAAATGTGTATGACGAACTATGTCCATCAGTTGACATTTATAGAGATTAAATATCACATAGTTAGAAATAATAAAAAAAATATTGGTTTTCATGTTACTAAAACCAAAAATCTAGCTTTTCATGTAAATAGTGGTGGTTTGTTTAATACAAATATTTAGGCTGTCGGGCTTAGCAATGTGAATCAGGTTCTGTGACGCCAAGGCATTTTATCATCAGGAAGACGTGACATTCCCCTGGGCTTCTGCTCGCCAACTAAATAGACAGCCAGAGGCTTTAAATAGATCACATTATTCAAAGCGTGAGACTGGCACTTTCCTTCATTACCAAATGTGCATCCCCAAACACATTCATTATCACAAATTCCAAGCTGCAAACTAGCGTTACTAACAAACTGATGTTTAACTTAGAAGTGCAGGAGGCGAAAAGGGCATTAGTAGTCTTCATTTGCAGAACTCATGGTAGTCAGATAAAGGAAGCACAAATACAAAAAGACTCCAAATATATATTAAAACAAACAAGTGTGTTTCTGGAGAGTTGAGTGTTGCATGTGTAAAAAAAGGACAAACTAGATACATAAATAAATTAAAAAAGTCATAATAAACCTGTATAGTATTCTACTACTTTTTAAGTGCTGTTTTTTGATGGAGAGGCATCATCACCCTGAAGTTTATGAGTCTAAAGCAGCACCACCAACAAATGTTCCCAAGGGTGGAGTGCTTTTTCTTTGAGGCCGAGGGAGACTCTAGAGCTGTGCAAAACAACCGACAGGCTCTTATGCAGTTTTTTTCACAGAGGGTTAAAGGTGGCGAAGCTGACACCAAATCAGCTCAGGAGGGAACAGTGGTAAGTCATACTTACGTCATACTTCTTTAATCTTGCGATGTGCAACATATTTGCGTAACAAATACTAGGTATGACATGTTCTTTTGTGCACGCTATCTTCTCAGCAGAGATACAAGCATCTCTTTCTGGGATGGAGCCGCAGTGCAGAGCTAACACAGTGGAACGGCAGCAAGTTGGTTTTACTTTGTGGATTCAGACGATTTTCTTTAAGCTGTTTTGTCCAATTTGTGTTTTCCCAACAAGAGCAGCAGGGTGAGAGGTAACATGTTCTTTGTTTCCCAGTTTGTTCCCGTTTGTGGATGCATTGGCCAGGAAGGGAATATCTTCACAAGGACATGGAGACAACAATCTCTTGTAGAACCGATTGTTGAGAAGAAAGCATATGATTATGGCCAAAGAAAAACAGGAACCTTGTTTAGATGAACAGAAATGGTATGGGTGTAAACTTCCTTCATCACTGAGGTGTTACTTCATGGCGGGACTGGTGTTGTGTTGTTTGTGTGCAGGAGATCAGTTCAGTGCATGCTGTCTGATTGTGTGGAATATCCAGTCCATCTTGGTGGTCCACCCTCCATGGTGAGCATCGTTCATCTGTTTCATAAAGTAGTCCAACGCCTCCTGCACAAAGCAGAATCAAATAAAGAAGATGATGACATTTTAATGTGAGATACACGACAATAACAATATCAGATCGGAGTGGATATGAGTTCAGGGGAAAAGTCTTATTACCTGTTCGCTTTTCTCCAAGGCCAGCGTCTTCCTGATGTAGGCAATGTCATCAAATGACTGCAGCTCAGGCATGCCGGAGCCCAGCATCATGGAGAACAGGTTGATGAACAGGTTCGCATGCTGCCGGATGGCCAGGTAGGCTTTATAACACATCTCCTGGAACCTGGAGGGAGATGGAATGTAATGTGAGGAATATCAACAAAACAGGTTGAAGCAAAGACAACAAGAATACAAAAATAAATAATAAACTCAGTATTGTGCAGTAACCAGTGTTGGAGTAGTTGCTCCAAAAAAGTTATGCATTACACATTAGATGTTACTTTTTTTTTTTTAAAGTAATGCCTTACTTAGTTACTCACTGCTGAAAGTAATTAGTTACACTACAAGTTACATTACTTTTGGATCCCTCTGTAACATCAGACGCCAATACTGTACACAAGACCTCGGTTTTCTGCTCTTTGTTTGAAATTCAGCTGTGGTTTCCTGTATGATGGCGGCAGCCCCGTTACCTGTATCTTGCTCAATATAAATATTGCAATTCCACCGTTGAAACGGGCAACATTTCCTCAACGATGTTTGCTGAGACATGCCTGTTTATCTCTGCTATGCAACTCTGTCATTTCTGCTCCGTTTCCTCATCCATGAACTTGCGTGTGTAGCACTAGTGAAACAGGCCGTTTTATTACCTTAAAGTAACGCAAGTAACAAGATCATTTTGTCCTGTAACCGAGACCAACAGTAACGCATTACACTACTGAATTAGAGACAAATGTAATCTGATTACTGTAACACGTTACCCCCAACACTGGCAGTAACAACCACCTAATTCCACGAGAGACGGTCTGTTTAACTTGCAGTCGGGTGCCATATGAAGAAGATTTGGGGGCTGTTCCCTCCCAAGTTCCCTAATCCTCAAAATATAAAAACATAAAATCAAACCTGCATCACAATATAAAATAAAAAACAGACAAAACCAGCTTCAATACAGTGGCAACAATGTAACTCTTTAAACCTAGTTTAAGATGAACGCACCTACAGTATAGCAAACCTTTTTTATGGCAGCATTTCAGGATAGCACATTAAGAGACACATTTTGGAATTCTACAACCTCAAACAACCAATCAACAGACTGACTTATTAGTTGCATGTAGAAGACTAGTACATCGTTTAAATGCTGCAGTACCTCTCAAACTCTTTGGTCTTGGCACACTCTTGGGATCCCTTGCTGATGACGATGAGGAAGTCTTGTGTCAGCACAAAGGGCACACGCTCTCTCTTGTAGCCAAACTTCTTCTTCTTATGGTCAAGGAAATGGCCAAAATCTATGTGAAACAACTAGGGAAAAGAAGAAAGCACAAAGTCAAAAAGCAGTTTCTCTATAACAAGTTACCTACTCTTAAGTGAAATCTATTTACTGCTGATACCAATTTATTTCAATAAAATGTGCCATTCAGTCTGCTGAGTATTCGCTCATATATAAGAAAAAAACAACAGTGCAGTATCTCTTTCAGCATTGGCTCACTCTCTCATTAAGACCCCCTGCTCTGCTTACACTAAAAATGTAATTGTCAAAGCAACCTTGAACATTTGGAAAAAGTTCAGACGTTTCTTTGATCTCCAAACATACTCTACACTAGCCCCTTTAACTGCAAACCATGTTTTTCCTCCATCCTTAGTAGATGGTGCATTTACTATTTGGTTTAACCAAGGCATTAAAACATTCAAAGACCTTTATATTCACAACACATTTGCCTCTTTCCAACAGCTATCTGATACATTTGCACTACCTAGGCAACATTTCTTCAGGTACTATTTACAGATTCGCAGTTTTGTTAATAATAGATTTCCTCAGTTTCCTAATCACCCAACTGATTCGCCGCTAGACACACTCCTTAGGCCGTTACCTACTCTGAAGGGAATGATGACGTGTATTTACGCTCAGATTTATTCTCTTCGTTTGGTTACCCTGAACTCCATTAAATCTCTTTGGGAAACAGATCTTGGGGAGGAGATTTCTGAAGAACTTTGGGAAAAAGCCCTTGCTAATGTACACAAATCTTCTATTTGTGCTAGACATGGACTGATTCAGTGCAAAGTGCATCACACACACTTTACTAAGCTCAGGCTCTCTAAAATATATAAGGAGGTGGACCCATCTGTGACAGATGTAGCCAAACACCGGCGAGTCACGCACACATGTTCTGGTCTTGTCCGGTCTTACACTCTTATTGGACTGACATCTTTAGATCACTGTCAGAAATCACTGGAAAACCGATTGCTCCTAATGCCATGGCCGCACTGTTTGGTGTAACCCCACCCACATGGCCACTCTCTTCTCTGGAGACAGCCTTCATAGCCTTTGTTACCTTACTAGCCAGACACCTGATATTGCTCATGTGGAAATCTCCAACATCCCCTTCACACACCTTGTGGTTAAAAGAAGTCCTAAATTCAGCCAAACTCGAGAAAATAAGGTGCATACTGAGGGGCTCCCTGGGGAAACTCCACAAGATGTGGAACCCCTTCTACAAGTATATACGGGAGCTGGACATGCCGGATGTCTCTGTACAATAGGGTTGAACTGTGATTACTGGGCGGCTGACTGACCAACAAGTGCTATGTTTTTTATTTTTGATATATTTGGCCTTTTTGTTCCATTTATACACATTGTTTGATCTCTCCTTTTGCATCATGCTATTAATAATGGACTTAGACTCAGAGCCTTTAGATTTTGAATTTGTTTTTTGATGTTGATTTTTGTCCTGTCGCAGTCCAACTGCTATTGCGCAGTCCGTCTGGCTGTTTGTTTATAAAAAACTAAAAAAGAAAGAATAAAAAAAAACAGAGGCTTGGCTAGACAGATTAGGATTGAAACATTGTGCAGGTTGTTCACTATGTGTCTGTTAGGGAAAACTGTAACGTGTCCTACTGTGCCTTTAATAAAAGTGTCTGGTGTTCCTACACAAGTTACCTGTCCATCATCTTTGACCATAATGTTGCTGTTGTGTCTGTCTCCTATCCCGAGGATAAATGTAGCTACACAGTAGCCAGCACAGGACCTCGTGAACAGATCCACAGCCAGGTCATACCTGCAAAAACACACACACAAATTAGCAGTGACACAATTAATTTAGCATTTAAAAGCAATTGGAAATGTGAAAATTATTTTAAAAAACGAATGTGGATTTTGAAACTTATGTAGGCAGGAAATAGGCTGCAACTCTTAGCAACAGCAGATTTCTTTAAGGGTCACACTAAAGTCCTCTTATGTTCTTCCCTGTCTAATGATGTGAACAATAATCTCAGGAGAGAGGAGCTCACATCTCGCCCTTGTTCTTGTCCTTGAGCCACTGGTGCAGAGTGTTTGAGTTGAACTGCAGGGCTCCTTTCAAGCCTCCTTTACACTGAATCTGCATGATGGTGTGGGAGCTGCGAACCACCTCAATGAGCCCCACACAGTCTCCCAACGACAGACAGCCGTACGGAAGCATCCTGGAGACACACACCAACAGATTTGTTTAGCCATATGCACTGAGGCAGGAGAAAGTTAGAGAATGTATCAATTGAAGCAGAAAAAACGGTGCAAGAAAAATATGGGAGGAAAAGGGATCGAGAAAATAGAATAGGGAGAGTACCGTAGGTCCAGCCCCTGATTCTGCCAAATGTTCTCCATGATTTTAATAATCTGCAACGTCAGCATGTCCTGCCGCAGGTCTATAACACAAACATAAACAATGAATTTGGTTAGAGGGTTCCTACAGACTAAGTCAATTAAAGTGTAATGTGGGTTGTTTGTGTCCGTGTGTGTGTTACCATCTCCATTTTTGAAGATGATCTCATTGTTCTGAAAGAGCAGCTCGGACATGATGTCAGGATTCTCCCAGTTCAGCCACAACGGTCTCTTCGCTGACGACATGATCCTGCATTCATCCAACCTGTGCACAAATGCATTCAAGGTATTATACAATGCCCTCTTTTTACAACAGCACACATGCACACACAGGCTCAGTCACGCTGCTCCCTGCCTCAGGTTTCCCAGTTGGTGTGCAGGGTTGAGAGGAGACGTGTAGTTCTGCAGAGCATCCATGTAGTCAGGCCTCTTCATCTGGTCCACAAGGAACCGCATCTGGACCTGAACCAGACAAAAGCATAATGTTTTGTTGTGCAAATGTATAATACGTGTGTGTAAGTGTGTGCTGCTGCTCTCCTTACCTTCTGCGTCTCATCCTTCTTCTCCTGTTTGAGGATGTCAGTGAGGTTAATGAGCTTCTCCATGGCCTCCACTTGCCTGCTCAGGTGTTTGAGGTACATCCCACAGGCCCGGCAGTACGCCTCCAGCAGCAGCCCAAACCTCTGGCTCACTGTTTTGTTGTGCATTTCTGACCTGTGAAGAAGCCACAAAGAGAAGGGAGTGGGAAGCAGGAAGGAAAGATAATAATAGCTCACAGAGAAAGGATGCTGCATAAACATTAGGGAAAAAGCAATCTGGATGGTGACTCACTTTAGATGCCAGAAGAAGAAATGACCTATCCTTTGATTGGTCAGAGCCTTTTTGAGGAGGAAACGGGCCAGGGGATTGTCGAGATACTGCTCATATTTTAATACCTAGAACAGGAGGAGAGAAATGATCGAGATGCATAACGGGGGCTCAGGTTAGTCATTTCGGATTCAATACTGTTTTTCACCATGGAGCCTCAGTACACAAAGCAACCAATACAGCTTAAGGCAGACTTTTAGAGTCTTCAATACAGCTGCTTTCCTACAGATATAACCATACAAAGGCACCCCATAGTCTACTTATAGTATCAGACCCACCTGTACAAGTTGAATGAGGTACTGGGACAGTTTGTCGTCGGTCAGGTATTTTTCGAGGCAGCGCACAGCAAAGTGTCTGACCATGGGGTCTGGGTAGTTACAGTCCAACAGCTCCATGGCCTGCTCAGGGCGGGTGGACGGCCATTCCTTCAACAGACAGTACATCTGGGAGACAAACAAGAAATATGATGTAATACTCATTATAAACTATCTGCGGCGGTAAATATATGAACTCAAGTATACACTCAAGCTTAAAAAGGAGTTATTTCCTAACAAGTTGATTTAAGTGGTCCAACATGGAGTTTTTCTACATGTATTTGTATTTTTCACAATCCCCCAAAACATCTTTCCTTTACTCATTGATCAAGTTTATTTCGAGTATGAGTGTTTATGTAATGAGCAGATATGAAATGGCATGACATTACCTGTGCTACTTCATCCCTGGAGTTCCATTTGACAGAGAGCAGGATCTTGGGAAGGATCTCAGGGATGTTCATGCAGTAGTGTCTGGTAGAAAATAAGAAAGGAGATAACTACATTTCCACTTTTTAATTCACGTTTTAATCTGTTGTTTTTGCACATCTACATCCTGCATACAAAGTTAAAACAAAATCTGATAAGTGATATTGATTTACATGAGTGTTCAGCGTACACAATTTGGCTCTGGTTATTCTTTAAAATGTTATTTAACTTTCTTTTTTTTTAACGTATTATTAAATAGACAGTTCACACCAAAAGTTATTTAAAAGATCAACAGCAATGTCTCTTCCAGAAATCATACCCTTTACTTAAGATGACACAGAACTATTTTCTTTCCACTGTACCAACCAGTCCCTTTCAGAATAACAGCTGAATAAAACCCAAAACAATATCACCTTTAACTACCAACCAAAAATAACAAGCCCGAATTGAATCTATTTTCACTTACAGCTACATAGAATCTGTTCAATTCATGCCACTTTCTTCAATCCAAGTAGTACTTTATGTGTGATATATGGTAGTTATAGTGTTATACTTGCTGGTTGTGTGGTTACCTGTGTCTCCAGAGGAAGTCTTTCTCCTGCTCAGTGATTTCTGAGAGAGCGTCTCTGTTACTCAGCTGTCTCATCTGCTCAGTGTCACTATCCGTCAGGGCGTGATCTCTGGCCGACCGGTTGCTCTAAAACAGAACAAAAAAGTACAAATAAAAACATTATTATTGCCAACAGTACCATAATAAATCTATTGGTACCATTTGTTACTTTTTAATTTGTTGGCATCACAGTATCTTTATCTAATAAATATGTGCCTCTCTGGATAATCAATGCAGTTACTATGAGGAGCCAATAAAGCTTGGAACGATACCAACTGTTTCCATTACTGTTGCGGTGCTTGTCAAACATATCAAGTTACAGATTAAGGAATAACTTTATACGACACATTACGCTATCATCATAAATAAATCCACATTGAACAGCCCTAATAGATCACACCTGGGGCCTGTACTACGAAGCTGGTTCAACCTAACCTGGATATGTTTGAGTTAGCCAGTTGGCCTAATCCAAAACATATGCGCTCTCGCTAAACGGTACTACAACGCTGGTTATCAAGTGGATCGCTCAAGCCAGCCGTGTCCTATCTAGTTAGGTGCGTGTTCACATGAAAGGGGTGGTATTTGGAGCATTCGACCAATCACAAACATGGAGAAGCATACTGACAGCGCAGCGTCATACTTCCTGAATGAAAAGTCAACTATAATATTAGACATATGAAGAAGTTAAACATCCATGACTTAAACACTTTATCCAGGATAAAAGCCACATAGCTGCACCTGCAAGGTGAATACAGCTGGCAAAAGAAAAAAGTGTTTGAATGCGTACATTAACAGGTTTATGATATCACTGCCCCGTCTAAGACACGATCTGGCTTTCATTACATTTGACTCGAGTGTTTCGTCAACTTAATGTGTTGTTTAAAATAATACTTCTGCATACCAAGAACGTATTCATGGAGTCAACATTGGGGGGGACCAAAAATTAAATCAAAATTTGAATACAAATTTCCTGCCATTCTAAAGGAAAATATATACAAATTCACTAACAAATGGGATACTTTAAGTAAGGGATAATGTGCAGCAACGCGGTCATTATGGGGAAAAGAACACCGACAGGCTGATCAGGAGCCCGACGCGAAGCGGAGGGATCTAGATCGGCATGATGACCAAGTTGCTGCACATTATCCCACTTATTACATGGCCACATTCTCAACAAAGTAACGTTATGAATCCCAATATTAATTGAAATGCTTTTATGGATTTAGAAAATTATTTTATTGATTTAAAAAATAGTTGTATTGATTTAAATTGACATGCATCCGCTAAGAAAAAGAGTCCGTTGTTACCGTTTGAACTAACGTGGCAACGGCAGGAACTGTTTCGATAGTGTTTTTGAGGAGCTTTTTGATGACAGATTTGAAAACATCGCTGCTTGCTTTAAAAGTAGCACAATTCATGATGTCAAACCTTGGAAAATATCTAGATATCTCTGCCCCTAATGCCAAAGGAACTGCACACTGAATATGTGTCGCCGCTGCCATGTAATAAAACCTGTTATTACATGGCTTAGTTGAATACTCGATTCTGATTGGTCAATTCAGAACACGTGACACGTTGTTAATACCGAACAGACAGACCGCTGTCAAGGACTTATTGACCGTTGTTAAGGACGCTCACATATTCAGAAAGAAGTCCGGTCGATTTAACTGTATACCGTTGGGCCGAAAAGCAAACTGCATGCAGTTTGCTTTTCGAACTGGGACATGAAAAACAGCAGCAGAAGTAACGGGGCAGAAACCCTCCTTTTTACGCAGCGGTCCAGACATAGACATCAAACGGCGACACATATTCAGTTGCCAGTTACTTTGGCATTAGGGCAGGGATATCTAGATACTTTCCAAGGTTTGACATAATGAATTGTGCTACTTTTAAAGCAAGGAGCGATGTTTTCAAATCTGTCATCAAAAAGCTCCTCAAAAACGCAAGCAGTTCCTACCGTTGGCTTTTCAAACTGACAAGAGACGCTCTAACTCAGGGGTGGCCAACCAGTCAGAGGTTAAGAGCCACATTTTTTCTATGTTACTTCAAAGAGCCACATCAAACACACAGTCACTGATATCGCTTGTTTCAGTTTTTTGTTTTCTGGAGACAAGATTTCAACCACGTCACTGATGCATTTTTGTGGCATTGGGATATATATTTTTTAAATCCTCTGGAGCAGAGAGAGGAGCTGTGGATTATTGTTATTGATTAATGCATCAGTGTTTCTTAGGGTCAAAAACACTAAACTCACAACTTAAAATGAAAGCGTTTAGTTTATTTAATAAAAGAGCACATGTTCAATGTGAAAAGTGACAGTAGTTATAGATTATTTGCAATTTGGTGTTATATATATATTTTTAAAAAAAATTATATATATATATTTTTTTTAAACACCTTGAATTTCAGGGGGGGCGCGGGGCTCCGTTGGCGGGGCGCAGCGCCCCTCCAAGACAATGGTAGGGGAAACACTGGATAATGTTTAATCAACGATAGGTTTCCCCCCCCCCCCCCCCCTCAAAGGTGATTGGTTCACTGCATCGCAGGTATTATTGTGATTGGCTCTTGGGCCACATCAAAATTATACGCGCTGTCATCCTCTCATACTGACACACAACATACATAACACGGGACGAAAGTAACGGAGCGATTTTATCCGAGCCCAAACAACTTTGACCGGCCAAATTACGTCAGAATTATCAGCATTCAATACTTAACAGACCTACTAAATATCAGGTTTAACTGTCAGGAGTAGCTAGTGTTGTCACGATACCAACATTTTGGTTTCGATACCAAGTCAAGAATTGCGATTCCGATTATTTTTCGATATTTTCTTAAAAAAAGGGAAACGGTCTTAAATGTAATTATTGTACTTTATTTCACACCAGAACCATAACACAAACTTTTAAACAATGGGAACAATAAATAAAATAAATGACAAGAATTCGTATTAAATACAATTAATAAATGTCTTACAGATGTGGTGTCCGTAGGCTTGCCCTCACTGCCCTCACTGTCAGAGATATAGCTAAAATACTTCCAAATTTCGCTTCTGGCGTCTTTTGTCAACAAGCCGAGGCGCAGCGGCAGCTGCACTCCCACTTGCAGCCATGCTTCTCGTTTTCTCACATGCTCTGGCAGCTAGCGCGTGCACGAGAGAGGGGAGGCACTTAGAGCGTGCTTGAGAGGGGCGGGACTGCAGGCACGGCTGCAGTGCAGGGAGTGGAAGCAGAGCGCTGAACACACACGGCTCTTATTAAAACGGCGCTTTCTCACCGGAGTACTTTTCCCCGTCATTCTTAAAGTACCGATACTAATGAAACGGAGGAATCGTAACGTTTTTAACGGCAGGGTATCGCGGTACCTTTCAAGTATCGGTACACCGTGCAACACTAGTCAGGAGTCAGTGTCTCTCCCCCAAACTCACACATAAAATTCGATATGAACTGAAGAGCCGCATGAAACTAGGCAAAGAGCCGCATGCGGCTCGAGAGCCGCGGGTTGGCCACCCCTGCTCTCGAGCCGCATGCGGCTCGAGAGCCGCGGGTTGGCCACCCCTGCTCTAACTGTTTTTCAAATTTAACAGTTTGAAAAGCAAGCAAACTGTCTGATTGTCTTTAGTTTTCCGCTGTCGTGTGATAGCATCATGGAGGATTTTAACATTAATTTGAATATATTTGGAGAGCACAGTAATTTGGAGTAATGGTTAGTGGCTGATGAGTCCCCAGTGAAGAAAAGAAAAAGACAAGAGGGACAAGAAAACAGCGGAGAAGTAACGGGCAGAAACCCTCCTTTTTACGCAGCGGTCCAGACATAGACATCAAACGGCGACACATATTCAGTGTGCAGTTCCTTTGGCATTAGGGCAGGGATATCTAGATATTTTCCAAGGTTTGACTTAATGAATTGTGCTACTTTTAAAGCAAGCAGCGATGTTTTCAAATCTGTAATCAAAAAGCTCCTCAAAAACGCTATCGAAGCACTTCCTGCCGTTGCTACGTTAGTTCAAACAGTAACAACGGACTATTTTTCTTAGCGGATGCATGTCAATTTAAATCAATACAACTATTTTTTAAATCAATAAAATAATTTTCTAAATCCATAAAAGCATTTCAATTAATATTGGGATTCATAATGTTACTTTGTTGAGAATGTGGCCATGTAATAAGTGGGATAATGTGCAGCAACTTGGTCATCATGCCGATCTAGATCCCTCCGCTTCGCGTCGGGCTCCTGATCAGCCTGTCGGTGTTCTTTTCCCCATAATGACCGCGTTGCTGCACATTATCCCTTACTTACACCCCATGCCCCTGCCTGTGGGGGAAAAAAACAACAATATTAACAAAACTGTGTCTCAGGCATGGGCGTAGGAAGCATCCTCAATGTGTGTGGGACAATTTGACGGGGGGTGTGGGCAGGTGGTGGACCTAACCTCCTCTAGGGGGGTCCGGGGACATTTTTTTTTTAAATGTTGAAGTTAAATGCATCAATCTGATGCACTTTGAGAGCAAAATTAGGGACTAAATCTATGGATACATCTCTCAAAACCATATGAAACAGAACTGAACAGATTTACTTTTTCTTTATGCATATTTTACAAAACACTCCCCTTTTAAACTGTAGTATGAGTTGGAATTATTTCATACCTGTTATTATCTTATTTTGTATAATTATAATGATCATATAAAGGTGTGCCTTGGAAATACTTGTTTTGCATCAATGTTGATACAGGGTACTTATATGTTATAGTTTGGATTCCTACAGCTTTTAGTCTACTATCCCATCATTCAAGGGTGGTTTTCACTATAAGTAATGGTTTATTTTTTGGACGGACACTATAATTTACACTTTTTTACCATGTTCAATCTGAATTTACTTTAAAAACATCTATATTGACTCTGACTTTTTCTACATCCAACTATTATCTATACTATTATTATCATTGCTTTGAGAACAATTATTATTCATTTACCCCGTTTAGAAGTGAAGATATAGTCAATTGTTCTGGGAATGTCATTTTCGAGCCTGAGACCTGACAAACAGGCTTGGGGCTTAACTGGTTAAAATGTTTTACCATAATGTCTAATTGTGCATTGTATTACATCACCCTATTTTATCTAGTTTAGCTTTTCTTGTTTCGTTGTTTGTAATGGCAGAGATTAGGGATGAATAAAGTACATCATAATCATATTAAAGCATTTAAATCCATAGAAAGGTATGTGCCACGCAATTTCAGTAGAAATAGGAACACTTTATTGCCCTTTTGTTTTGTTGAAATACTATTTCATAATAATTGTAGAGTATTTATTTAATTAATTCTGGCACCTTTGGTATTCCATAGATGTCACACAGTTTTAAATCTTTCCACACTCTACAAATGACAAAAATAAAATAGAAATAATCCACATGAATAAATATGTATTGCCCACCAAACCCTGGCTAGCAACTGAAACCAGCTAGCCCACAGCTAGTTAGCTACTATTCCTGAAAAGTTTGGTTTTAACATCAGAACTACAAGTTACTTACACAAAGAAGCTAAACCGCAGGGTTCATTAACATTACCATTACGAAATAAAAATAATTACTTAGATTACTTTAGGGCTAACTAGAAAAGATACCAGAACTGATGGAGGGCAAATTAAAACATGACTGACCTGCTTGGAGCATCAAGCTAACTGAAGCTGGACTCAGACGTGCGACAGCAAAATACACCCCCGGGTACAAAATAAAGGTATGCCTAAACAAACAAGGCGGAACCAATTTACATATGAAAATAATATATCATTTTGGTGAAGTTCACAATAACAGAAAATAAAGATTTTCAACTATACAAATAGCCAAAATAAAAAAGTCATAGAATAGCAATTTTATTTTAATAAAAAAAAAAAAAAAAAAGTTTTTGCTATTTATTGGGGGGGGGGGGGACATTTTGAGTGTATCTGAATATTGGGGGGGATGTGTCCCCCCCCAATGTATATGGTGAATTCGGCCCTGCTGCATACAGTATGTGACACTGTGAGTGTTGCAGGCCAGATACGGCTCAGCTGACTCAGATAAGAAAATATATGATACATTATGATGTGATATGCCGCAGACTTTACTTAATGTTACTCTGATCCGGTTACTTATGTTGTGGCAGATATTTAAGTAAGCTTTCTTAACGCTAATGTTATAATAGTCAGATTGCTCTGAAGATGGGAGGTGATATTCTATTAATGTTCACGTTCACACAGTCGGTGATTTTTGCCGGCCGTCTTTCCTGCAACGGCAGCTTTTCTGTATTTCCTTTCTCCTGTAATATGACTTGATCGCTTTAAACTCCGCACACTGAGCTCTGATTGGTCAGCAGGCAGTGCTTTCACTGAGTTGAGCTCTTAGCCTGCAACCTAACCTGGGGGGTATACTACGAATCTAGTTCAACCTATCCTAGATATGTTTTGAGTTATCCGGTTGACTTAATCCAAAACGAAGCCGCTCTCGCTAAACTGTCCTACAACGCTGGCTATCAACTCGTTCGCTCAAACCAGCCGTGTCCTATCTAGTTAGGTGCTCGTTCACATAAAAGGGGTGGTATCTGGAGCATTCGACCAATCACAAACATGGAGAAGCGTACTGACAGCGCAGCGTCATACTTCCTGAATGAAAAGTCAACTATAATATTAGTCAAATATGAAGAAGTTAAACTTTAAACATCCATGACTTAAACACTTTATCCAGGATAAAAGCCACATAGCTACACCTGCAAGGTGAATACAGTTGGTAAAAGAAAAAGTGTTTGAATGCGTACATTAACAGGTTTATGATATCACTGCCCCGTCTAAAACACGAGTGGATCTGACTTTAATTACATTTGACTCGAGTGTTTCGTCAACTTAATGTGTTGCTTAAAATAATACTTCTGCATACAGTATGTGACACTGTGACGGCCCCTACACACGACGGCATGCGTTGCCGCTTGGCGGTGGGCGTATCTTGAGCTTGGGGAGTCAACGCGAGCAACAACCAATCACATGAATGTCCCGCCCCGGACATACAAAGCAAAGCATTCATGCTACATCCATGCTGGCTAAATATACATATGCTTGCTAGCTGTCCATTCAAACGAAGTACACTGGATATAAACTCCCCAAACAGGCGAAAACCTACCAGTTTCACCCACTGTCTCTGCCACCTCCCCCCATGCCTGGCTCCTCCGGTTTGTATCCCTGTATGTAAAGAGGGACTGGTCATATACAGGGTGATTCCCTACCGCCACGATAATTTTCTCCTCAATTTTTTGACATATGGGAAATAACTGCGGTCTGGCTCTCCCAACATACACACGGTTTGATTGGCCAGCGCTTGAACTGTCAGATTTGCATATGCGGGATTTGATTCGCTGACGCCTCCGTCGAGGCGGCAAAAGTAGAACATTGCTCTACTTTTGCAGCGAGCACCGCGAGAGAAGCTACGCTTTGCTCCCACAATGCAGTTCGGCGAATCGTGACGTCACCCCATTCAAAGTGAATGGGCAGAAGCGTTGAAGCGGCAACGCATGCCGCCGTGTGTAGGGGCCGTGAGTGTTGCACGGCCAGATACGGCTCAGCTGACTCAGATAAGGAAATATATGATACATTATGATGTGATATGAATGATAATGGGACACATCGACGTCTGCACTCACAGTGCCGCGGACTGTAGGCAACGTAATGTTACTTTGATCCGGTTACTTATGTTGTGGCAGATATTTAATTAAGCTTTCTTAACATAATAGTATAGTTATAATAGTCAGATTGCTTTGAAGATGGGAGGTGATGTTCTATTCATTTTCACGTTCACACAGTCGGTGATTTTGGCCGGCCGTCTTTCCTGCAACGGCAGTTTAAACTGTATTTCCTCCGCATACTGAGCTCTGATTGGTCAGCAGGCGTGGTGCTTTCGCTGAGTTGAGCTCTTATCCTGGAACCTATCCTGCTTCGGAGCACAGACTAGGTTCCAGGATAAGTCACCGAGATCTAGACCGCTAAAAAGTGAACCAGCTTCGTAGTACCGGAAATCCCAGAAGTTATCTTGCTAAACGAAAATCCTGCTTCGTAGTATACCCCCCAGGTTAGCCGCTAAGCATAAGTTACCATGGAGATCTAGCCTGCTAAAAAGAGAACCAGCTTTGTTGGACCGGAAAGCCGGAGTTTTCCCTGAATTTAGCCGGCTAAGCGAAAATCCTGCTTCGTAGTATACCCCCCTGAAACCACACACCACAAAAGATAAAAGTCTGTAATTCATACCATTTTAACTTTTGCACTATATATTTTGTTTTATTCAACCATTTCCGTCAGCTTTCAAAGTTTACATTTCTAAATCACTGCACATTGTATACTGATCTGAGATAACCACAGCCTTCATTTACACCAACAATCACTTATTATTTATATGCACACATTAGAGTATCAGATCATGGTAGTGGTTGGCAAAATTAGAAACTGTATTAAAATCACCATCTGGGTCTGTTTTTACAGGAGCAGCTTGCTCATGAGAAGCGGGAAATGAACTTTGAATTTTTACTTGCTTGTAAGCGCTTTGAGCACCAGGAAAAGCACTTTATAAATGTAATGTATTATTATTATTTAAATGCCAGTATTCTTCTGGCTTTTACTTGATATGTATTCATTCTAATGATGCAAATCCTGACTTTATCTTATCAGATACAGGATAAACCTAGTGTTTGTAGAAAAATAGGAGACAAAAACTGGGGTAGGTAGACAGCATGTTAAACCTTCATATCTACAGTAAAATAAAATATAGCATGTATTTATGCTTTTGATACACACAAATGTTAGCAAAACAAGCTAAATGGATATATTTGTCCGCAGAATAACAGACGTTTCACTTCCATATCTATTGACACTGTGACCCAGACAGAATGCAGTTGGTATGACATGCAGCCAGATACTGTTTAAACTTTACGGCGTAAGTCTTAGTCTTAGTCTTACTTTGCCAAAAATAAATCTGTATATACATTCAACTGTCCCTTGCCCAATCAAACACCTTTATGAAACCAAGTGCCAAAATCTTTAATATTCTGGTAACATTTGATGTTAATTTAGATTTAAATTGTAGGCTACCTAAGATAAAATAAAACAATGTTCTGCTCAGAAGTGAGCCGGATGATATCCTCACGCTTATTGAGTTGGACATTCACCACATTTGACACAGACATCATGAATAAGTTAACACATTGTCTCACACTGTTCACATCCTCTCACATGGCAGAGTAACTCCAACCTCACACAAGTCATGGCTCTCATGCCACACATCATCTAGAAACCTGATAAGACTGCATCAGCTGCACCATCATGAATAACTGAATACAACAGCTAACTGCACGACTCAGTTACAGGAAAAGTGTTGGGGCGACTCGAGTCAGGAGATTTTATATTTCATGGTTGGGTGGAAAATGCACCTTACTATAATTAAATGTGGTGTCTTACACAACACGCTTTCTGTTCACATTACTTACTCACCTGCATGACTTTTAATTGGGCAGATGTTGTCATTGCAAGAAATGCCTTCAACAAGGACACACCTCACACTAGGGACTCATAAATCAATGCCACACTACAAAGGGGTGTAATGAGCAGTGAAACTCAAACACCTTCATTAATAACTTACTTATTCTATTCTCAGTAACTCTGTACATGTTATATTTTATTTATTAAGTGTGTATTTGAGCACTGTAACTTACATGTCAACAAATGAACATGGAGCTTAAGTTGTGTTTCTTAATGCTGTAATTGCTGTACTTGTCTTCAGGGATGGATTTCACACTTGACATTTATGTAATCAGTTCAATATTGTTACATTTTGGTCCAGCCCTCTTACAGATGCAACATTAAACATGTGAGGCCCCTCATGGTCTTAAGCTATAACTGACATTTATTTCCTTGTGTTTGAGGTTCAAAACATTTACAATATACACTGTGTTATTGTACTCTTCTAGCCCACTGATAGGCAGCTTGTTAGCAGGTAATACCTGTCCAGAAAGGTTGTAGTTAAACCCCAGTTCCCTTGAGATGGTCCAGTTTGCATGATCCTCTACTGCATTCATTTCTGGGTATTTGACCAAACTACTGAAGTGGTCAAATTCCAGCTCCAGGCATGGGGTTTCCTGTAAAGTAGAAATGAATATCAACACATTGTGTGAATAACCAAAATGGTACATTTGTAAATTTGTTATGAAATGAAGCAACAGTGCAAAACAATGTGATTGAAAGATTGCTTGATTCAAATACCTTATTAGGGTTGGATCCAGTGACTCCGATGGGATTGAGGAGGTCTTCAAGGCCGTGAGGGACAGGCCAAAGATTCAGAGCCATCTTGTTGGCCACTAGAGTGTGAGTGTAGTCAAACATGTTGATATTACCCCAAGCTAGTGGACAGTGCTCCTAAAGGGAGACAGATGAACGAGAGAGAGAGAGAGAGAGAGAGAGAGAGAGAGAGAGAGAGAGAGAGAGAGAGAGAGAGAGAGAGAGAGAGAGAGAGAGAGAGAGAGAGAGAGAGAGAGAGAGAGAAGGACCCATTGAGTGGAAATTGAATTAATTGCAATGTGTGAAGCTCATGGGAAGAAAACAAACACAAACACAGATGGTGAATCATTTAGAATATCAAAGAGGCTTTTAACACCAACATATTCTGGGACTCGCACTGTGAAAGAATATAGTCTCATTAAGGTTTCCTTTTGCTGAGAACACATTAAAAACACTTACTCAGAAAGCAGATCAAGAGCTGCTGTGTGTTTGCCTTTAACGTGTTAGTTTACAATGGGGTGATACCCTGACAAAAATGTTTTTTTAAAACTTAAAGAGTTTAAAGAGTCTTACAAGGTTTAAGTAGGTTATAGTATGCAGGTAAAGTGATTTTAAAGGGTTTTTATATTTGCTAGATATTCATTCAGTTCATCCTAAATGTTTTTTCTGGTGCTGTATATGACAACACGTCTGTTGTTACCTCCTAGGAGGTTATGTTTTTGTTTGGATTGTTGGTCTGTCAGCAGGATTACAGAAAAACTACTGGCCTGACTTTCATGGAACTAGTTGGAATGATCTAGCATAGGCCACACAACAACCAATTACATGTTGGAGTAAATACAAATAAAAACATCGATAAATAACTTTTGTTAACATTGAGCGGAAGGGGATTCGTGCTGCCTATAAGTGGTGTCTGAATGATCTGGAAAATTAGTTCCAGACTGGGGAAATTCACGTTGAAGCCCCCTTTAGTAGGATCACCAACTGGTAAAATGATATCAGCGTGTTATAGAAAGGCTCTGAGCAATAAAATATACAACCCAGTATCATGGCATTTCGTGTTCACCAACACGATTTTTAATCTATTGATTCGTGTTCACCAACACGATGTTCCCCTTTTTTTCGTGTTGCACAGCACGATTTTAAAAGCAATGTATTTCTACTGGTAATGTGTAATGTGTCTTTTTCTCCGGTCGGGTCGTGGAAGACCGGAAGCTGTGTGGTTCATAAAAACATGTTCTTACTCAATATCAAGCCACAATTATTGCTTTTATTTTAAATCGTATAATTTCTAACTTTTGTTGCCGTCTGTGAGGAAAATAAATGGGGCTCAGAGCCTCGGGATACTGAAATCTGTATTTTTAAATCTTTTTTTCCTTCTAATTTGTTATTCTTTTCAAAATAACACACTGTTATTTACTCACCAATAACACACAAATATCCTTGCTTTTATTTATTGGTTTAATTCCATAATCTCTGGCTTTTTTGGCGTCCGTCAGGAACTAAATTTCAAAATAAAAATAACCGGAAACAGACGTAGGCATTTTGAGCGATTACCCAAGATCCTCAGCTATGGTTTAAGCTCGCTGATTGGATGTTTTAGCCGCAATGCATGCTGGGATTTGGTGTTTATATGATATGAAATCCGGAAAACATTTTAAAATAATAAAATAATACTTAATTCCGAGTGCTCTTGCTGTTCTCTTTTTTTTCTCTTTGATCACATAACGGCATTGTAATACACGGTTCGGCTGCATTACATATTACAGATCTGCCGTAGTTCTTTATTTATAGAGCCCTGATGAGAAGACCTTTGGAAAAACTTGAAGTAATGCTGCCGAAACTGAATACTTGACGTGGATCATAAATATATCAACAATTAAACAACATCTTCAATTTCTCTTCACACAATACGTCTCCTTGCAGTATCAACACTAATTCTGCTGACTTTTACATTTGATCTAATTCATAGATAGGTTATATTTACACCATAACGGTGCACAGCTGATATAAAAGGACTGTAGTTTTTAAAGATATTACTGATTTTCTTTGAATGTAAGAATGTAAATACTGAGTCTGAAATAGTATAGCAATATGCTGTAAAATTATGTGAAAGCATGAATAAAACTACACAGCTTCAGATGTTGTACATACATAAGTGTCCTACACTAATAATACAAAGTTATTATGGCTGTGTGTACCTTGTGTGCACCTCCTAGTGGTTAAAGCACGTTATTGAATTATTGTTTTTATGTGTTATATTTGATTAAAAAAATATTAAGAGTACATACTTTCATAGGGGGAAAGTATAAATATAGAATATAAAAAATCAAGAAGATACTATAAGTGATCTCTACAATAAAACAGTTTAGTGCAGGATGTACAAAGATATTAATAGGAGGAGGTGCAAAACAGAAAAACGAATTAACCTTTATTTAAACATTAAATAATACTTTAGATTAAGGTCTTCTTTTAAATAAGAAAAAAACTTTGGGGGTATCTATCTACAGATAAATATTAAGCCTCACAAAGTACTTAACGTCTAATATATTGCTTTCCTGCAATGTTAACTATGTTGAAGCACTTATTTTAACTGATATTATACATATGAATTATACTCTTATGTATGTAGATACTAGATAGTATAAGAAATGTGCAGAATATGACAGTTTAATGGTGGAGGTACACACATATTGATAGATGTCTTGTAATGCACTGTTGAGGAACCTGTGACATTGCATAACTACACCGTAGTTGTGTATATGATATGTCAATAAACCTTTGAAAATCTTGAAATCTTGAAATCTTGAAAGGGATGTACAAAATATCCATAATATACAGTCTTTAATTAACTATTAGTAGAGAATAACGAGTAATGAATATACTTTATTACTCGTTTCCATTCATGTCAATTGCAGATAAATGTTTAGTCTTCTCAAGCACCAACTATCAAATATCTCTCCTGATTGTTGGCACTTGACAATCACCTTACCTGAATTTTACTCAGGTGTAACTAAAGTCTGATTTAAGGGTTGTTTATATTTCACATCATTAATCAGAATCTGCAAAGTAACTCAAATAAGTGTAGTGGAGTAAAAATACCAGGTTATCCTCTGAATTGTAGTGGAGTAGAATTACAAAGTAACAATGAGCTGTCATGTGGGTATATTAATGCTGCACATTATGGACACAAGCGATTTTCACCCATTTATTAATTATATGTTTTACATTTGACAACACCAATGTGTTTAATACTGGCAACTTCTAATTGTGGGAAAAACGAAAACGTTCAGTAGAGATGTCCCATAGAACATTTTAGCCAGCATGTGTAGTTCTGGGGGGGCGTTCAATTCCAGTTTTGGATAGTCTGGCGTGGTTTCGTTCCATTTCAAACAGCTGTTTGACGCTTGGCGTAACCTTGGTGCATTGCCACTTCAACATCCAATCCCAGAGTTTGAAGATTAATCACGGGGACTGTAGTCCTAAACGATAGCTGGGGATTATGGGTAGTGTAGTGTCTTTGGCCATCCTAAACTCAGAAATGTTGACAATCGCAATGATGCTCGAAATGTCCCTTATAGGCCTACGTCTGTTTCCGGTTATTTTTATTTTGAAATTCAGTTCCTGACGGACGCCAAAAAAAGCCAGAGATTATGGAATTAAACCAATAAATAAAAGCAAGGATAATTGTGTGTTATTGGTGAGTAAATAACAGTGTGTTATTTTGAAAAGAATAACGAATTAGATTAAATTAAATTTTAAAGATTTAAAAATACAGATTTCAGTATTCTGAGGCTCTGAGCCCCATTTATTTTCCTCACAGACGGCAACAAAAGTCCAAAAGTATACGATTTAAAATAAAAGCAATAATTTTGGCTTGATATTGAGTAAGAACATGTTTTTATGAACCACACAGCTTCCGGTCTTCCACGACCCGACCGGAGAAAAAGACGTGCTGCAGGCACGAAACACATTACCAGTTGAAATACTTTCCCCTTTTTTTCGTGCTGTGCGACACGAAAAAAAAGGGGAAAATCGTGTTGGTGAACACGAATCAATAGATTAAAAATCGTGTTGGTGAACACGAAATACCATGAGACTGGGTTGAAATATAACACTACTTATTTCTAGCGCTCATGACTGGCTGAGTTCTGCCCTCCTCTAGTCCCTTTTTTAGTTTGCAATAGAGAATTGCTGGCAAAATGATCAATTCAACTCTAAATTCAACCTTTCTATGAGAAATTGATTATGGATTAACAGACGGTAAAATGATGGGTCTTGGCAATATCTAATATAATATATAAATTGTATCGAACAATCCTTAAACTGCAGTACTCCTTCTACCAGAGCCACTAAGCTAGCCTCCACAAAAGCAGAGGAAATGTTTAAGATAACATCTTGATCTTCAGAGTGATCCTTCACTTGGGGGAAGCGATGGAACCAGAGGACAAAGGGCAACATGGGGAGCCAGACAGAGTTACATGCAGACAGCCAGTCAAAATGCACCTATTAATAGTAAGTGCTGGAACAAAAGGCTGCTGTAAAGCAGTGTTTATCAGGTTGGGCCTGAAAGAGCATCCGTTAACCTGACCTCAGCCTCTGCGCTGTACAGGATAGGGCTTACCCCGGGTGTCTGTTACAATATCCATGTCTGCCATCCATTGATACTCTCTCTCTCACACACATACACCCGCTTCTCTTTCTTTCAGCTTTTGTACCAAAGAGAGACGGAAGAAGAATCAATCCGTGTGGGCGTCTGCTACGACTTTTTGACCTAATGCACAAAACCTCAGACACACTTCAAACTGTTTTACAACACATGGTTTCCAAACAGAATACATACCATTATTATTTGTGTTGTACGTTTGATATTAATATTATGCACCTAAAATAAGCATAACGTTTTAAGTTTTAAATCACAAGATATTAAACAGCTAACATCTCAGCCCTAATTTAAAATGTTCCACAATTAAAGTATACATTTGTCTATTTTCGAAGTATTTAATTAAAATACTGAGTATGAGTATTAAGTGAGAATAAAAGTCTGTTACAAAACATGCCATCAGCACGGCTTGCACAAGCGAAACATATTGAAGCATGAATGGAAAAGTCTCTCCCGCTGATTGTGTTTCTGTGGATGTATTCTGCCACCACAGTGCCCATGGCAGATTAGTAATTAAACAGAGCCAAAGACGATACCACAGCTCCCGTTCACCTCGGACACATATACTGAGAGAGACTGACACATGATGTAAGGTAGCTTCATATAGTAATACCAGCACACAATACACACACAAGAGGCATTTATACACATATAGGACCCTTCAGGATGGCTAGGTATGCCAGTGTTGAATAAAGGATTGAGACACATGGAGGTCATCTGCTCTCTGCAGTATATGGCATATACTGCTGATGGTATTTGTATGATCAGCTATTTTTATCCTTTGGATAACATTGGTTTATGTTTTGTTTGTGTTGCCCGGTTATGGATGTTTTGGTGTTTTTTTATCCAAAGATATTGCATTCCCCTATAAAACTGTAGGTTTTCTTTTCCATAACTGTTCCTAACTGTTGAAAACAATTCAACAGTAGTATCAAAATAGCCTAGCAAGACACTTCCTGTTTTTTGCATGTCCACTTCCTGTCCAGTTAAGTTGCATTGTGTGGTCATTTCCTTCACTGCTCTATATCCTACCTCCTTGGCTCCCTTCCTGCCTTTGACAGAGCAGATGGAGAGGCAGAGTCTGGCGGCTCGAGGTATGTCAGGGATGTACATATCATAGGTGAGCCATTCATTCCACCTGTAGTCAAACAAAAGAAAGAGATACAGAGAAAATGTATGAGACAAGGCCAAAAAAGTACAACAAGAACACATCTCAAATATATAATCCTTCAGGGAAAGTAATGACCTAAAGAAACCTGTGCCCCCTTTCACTGCTATCACACAGGGATTGTTCTTACAGGCCTATACAGTGCATACAATAGATTAGACTTGGGTTCACCAGTAATGTAATACAGCAGTTTAGTGTTACTATAGTCAGCACTTACAGTAACTGTTACCATTCCCTTCCTGCACTAGACTACTTAAGGTGAATTTGAAGTGTCAATTGTCACTTTCTAAGTCAAACAAAGAGAAAGTTAAATTGAAGTAGAAGTTATTTATATTATTGGATACTAATAATTGATTCATTTCATTGTATTTAAATATCTTTATCTTATTCCTTCTTATTTGTTTAACTTGTCTCTGACTAATCATGTGGTTTAAGCATTTTGTCACTATATAATGAAGAGGTCATTACAAATAAAATCATGATAAAAAAGTCCTGCAGGAATGGGCTGCTTTAGTAATTTAAAAGGTATTTTATGAAGAGTTGTCAATTACCTCGGGTTAGAACAAGGTACTCTCTGCGTGTTGACATTGTCACACATCTGTTCACCTCCATGGTAAATGCCTGTTCTCACATAAATCTGTAAATATAAAAGAGAAGCAAAACAGAACGAGAAAGGGAAACATCAATAAGAGTTGTTGGCATAGCTGCACTATAACATTGTAAAATAGTTAACTGTTGGACACCATTGGCAACTTGTAACAGCTGTCACATTAAATGAGCTTTACCTTTATGGAGCAGTCTGGCATTTATGAAAACACAACATTTGTGCAAATGATTCCTGACAGCACATCAACATGAGCTACCAGAGCTGCTTTCCCTTCAAGGTCTCTGTGCACAGGAGACGTGGACAATGACTGTTTGTTTCCACAGGAAGTGAGGGAGTTGGAAGATGGGACACTTTGCACAACTGAAATAACAGTCAACGGATTTAGCTTAAAAACAAATATCCATTTATGAATCTAAAAAAATAGAATGAATACAAAATGTTACTACTAGTGCAGGAAGGGAATGGTAACGAGTCAGAACTAAACATGGTAAAGCAGCGTTCAGTTATTATGCTCCAAACATCTGGAACAAACTCCCAGAAACCTGCAGGTTGCAACTCTTACTACTTTTAAATCCAGGCTGAAGACTTATCTTTTTGTCGCTACTTTTAATTGAAACTGAGCCGTTGTGTTCATCAGTAAAGTGGAACTTCTGTGTGAACTATTCATATCTTAAACTGCACTGTAACTTTTTATTCATGTACTTTTTATTCATGTATTTTTTCTTTTAATGTTTCTTTTATTATCTTTTACTGTTTTTAAATGCCTTTGTCTGAATGTCTTTCATTTTTGTAAAGCACCTTGAATTGCCTTGTGTTGAAAGGGGCTATATAAATAAACTTGCCTTGCCTTGCCTTACAAAAAAAATCTCTTAATCTACATTTGAATCTTCTCCTACAATCTATGAAGGGATATGGTATTAGAGTCGATGATCTGTTGTTTAATTTGACTGAGAAGCACAAACACTGGTATATTCATGTAATGTCTGCGCGCCCCCACCTTGTCTATGTCCCGTATATTGACGTTAACATAGGTGGCACACAGGATTCGTATCCGCAGGGTCCCGTTGATGGTCCACAGCGACTTGGCAGATGCCTCGCCATTCATATAGGATGTTGCCGTGGAGATACGTCGAGAGTACGACGGCATGACAAAGTTGTCTGTAGGCAACTGAGAGTATAAGCTGTCTTTGGCCATTAGCATCAGGTTAGGCAGCCTGCCCAGCATGATGCAACTTCGGATATACTAGAGGGAGGGAAGGAGAGAGGGAGTGACGCAGAGATGGACGGTTAGAGTCCACAGAGCTGCTAGAGTTACAGCATGCGTAAGTGTGACATTGATATCAATTTGTCATTTTCCAGCAGCCACGAAGTGACTGTAGAGGAAACACTGATACTTTGTGCACCTTCTGCTTTGATTTGGCTCACACGGACATTGTGTGTGGGATCACATTGCTGTGCTTGATGAGGGAATGGTTCCAGTGTTTTAATAGGCAATGTTGTTTTGACATATACTCAATGTTTACAATAAATAAAAGATCTCAATTGGATGAGACATTGTCTATATCCTGACTTTGACGGGATTTATTTAAAATCTCGGATTAGCTTCATCCATCTAAGAGCATCCTTTGATGGTTTGATTGTTTTTTTGTGTGAGACATTCCAACTCTTCATTCTGCAGAATTTCTCGGGAAATATTTACTTTTTATCATTCAAGTCATTTGAGGTCAAATTTTCCAAATACATTTGTTCTTCTTGTATGTCTTTATCATCTGGGGACGCCCTTACCTTATACTGGCTGATGGGGTACTTTTCCAGCAGGTACTCATCACAGCCACACACTTTGAGGATGTATTTACCCTGATATTCCTGCACACACATCTTCAGCTGCTCTGGGGACAGCAGCATGCTGCGTGTCTTCTTACGAATGGCCTCTGCAATCACCTTTAGGACAAGATACGCGCCTATATTAGACACCCTTTAAATCCCACGTGTTATATTCAAAGAGTGACAGGTCCATAACTAATCAATCGTCTTTTCCTTTTAGTCCATGTTCATCCTACCTGTTCAGGCACACAGTCGTGGTTGATCTTCAGTGTATACTTTTGTTTGTCATTGTTTGGAGAAACAATCACCCAAATCACAACGATAATCTGACCTACAAAACATGACAGAGAGACAAAAAGAAAGGTGAGAAAATGAATCAAATGTTACTCTAGCAGCAACCCAGAAAAACAATAACCACCCACCTTAAATTCTGGTATGTATTTAGCTTGACAGTAGTAGTACCTCAATCAGTCATTGATTGACCTGCCCATTACTGCAGTTCATATCCATTGTAGTAGCTGGCTAGTAGTCATTACGTATTGATGGGAGGCTAAAACCTACCTCCTGCTCCCTGTTGTCTTTAAGTGCTTTTCGTGTTCTGTTTTCTATTTAATAATAATAATTAGTATTTTTTTTGTTTTACTTGAAAAAAGTCTTAAGCTGTTGCCTACCTTTGTCCAGCTTGCTTTCGATGTGTTTTGGAAGTTCCTGTGTGGATTCTATATTGGGAGGATAAACATAGAGCGCTCTGCTGTGGGGCCCGCTGGCATCTCTCATCTCCACAGAGTCTTTACAAACATTCAGGATGTTTCTCCTGAAGTCCTGAACCTCCGGGTCCTTCACAAGGTCAAACTCACACACAGGCATGCCAATGGCAAAACCTGAAAAATACAAAGCAGAGTCAGTGTTCTTTTCAACATTGGTAGGTAGTAGGTTAGAGATAGTTTTTCTTTCTGAACAAGCATGTTTCAAACTTTATTTCGTCCACATTTTTTCACAAAGGATCCAATAGAACAAGTGCTATTAGAGGACAAAAACCTCTCACCAATCTCTCTGTTGAGGATCTTTTCCTCTCTATTGCCAACTGGTTCAATGACCTTGAGGAAAGGCTGGAAGAGTCGGAGATCACATAACCTCCGGGTCTCGTCGTAGAACTCCTCCCGCTCTGCTTCCTGCAGGCAGGCAAAACAAATGTTTTTCACGAAACCATTGGGAATTTCTGAAATAACTACATCTTCCTGTAGGTGAAGGATGGATGTTTTTTTACAGGTGAAACAGTTTGTTTTTAAACACAAGTTCTAGAGACCTATTTCTTTCTTACTTTTTTACCAGCACCTAAAGCAGCTCCAGAAACATTTATTTTCTTCATTATTAACTGATTTTCTGGGGTTAGTCCATCAAACTTGTAATAATGGATTTCCCTTGTGTTTATGTATTTAGGTGGAAACTTATGTGTAAGAGATATTCAAATTGAGATGATTAACTCTTACTTGTGTTACACTGACAAAGATGTAGGAGGTCTCCTCCTGCAGGAGGTGATGAAGAGGATATTTCCTGGCCTCTTTGAACAGCTCATGTTTGATGGTGATGAGCGTGGCCTCACGGAGACACTCCAGGGTCAGAATCATCCCATTGGGCAGCAGGCAGTCCACCAGGATCCTGCAGAAACTCTTAGCATTACTATAATATGTTGATGAATCATTAATCATTAACATTACTTTTCACTAATAAGCCTACTAGTCCCTCGTTAGGCATTTCAGTGTGTTAATAAGGAACATACCATATCAAACTAACATTCTAAAAACGATCACTAAAGGCTTAAACCTAATAAAAGAACAGGCATGTGTACTTTTTGAGGCTATTCTTTACGATCAATAAAACATTTTTATTCACAATTTGTTCTAGTGTGCGTACCTGGGAGGCATCAAGTGGATGCCCCATAGCTCCCCTGAGGACGGCCTGGGAGGCATCTTCCTCTCTGTCTCCCAGCTCAGTCAGAGTGAAGCTGCAGAGCACAACCTGAAAAATAACAACAAATATTTTGACAGTCATAATGTAAAGAAACAGGCTTTAATTCGAATGCAACGAAAGCCCCTCTGTGGTAATACTTAACATACAAATAGGAATATGCAATTTGACTGTTTAATACATTTTACTTTGTGTTTATTTTTTCTGACTATAATGTTGTTTAGTATACATAACTGGGTGGACCAAATGAGCAACTGTTTATTTGCCTTGTGGCTTAAAAGAATGTATCAAAAACTGTCATTTAAAAAAGCATTGATTTAGTAACCCAATTACGCAATAATAAACTAAATGGCATCCTTATATAAAGAAAGTTTATATAAGGATGACTTCAAATCTGGTGACTTTTTGAGCTCATTTCAGTTGAAAACTCGCCAGTACAGCTCTGTGAATCTGCAGTCCTGCATGTTGCCGAGGCTTAGCAGTGCTCACTGAGTTAAAGAGAACAAGCATGTTCAGTCAACCACAAAACAGCAAGTACAGTGACTGACAGCAGAGCATGCAAGTCAGGTGAAGAACTGGCATAGTTTACCCTGTCTTGTCACTCAAGTGTATCTAACCAAGACACTTACAGCCCATTTACTTTTAAATACTTTTACTCTCGACCGACATTAGCAAAAACCTACAATGCATGAAGACAAATTCTGCCACTGCGAAAGTTAACATTTCGGTATGGCTCAAGTTGTTAATTTTTTATTCTGGCCCATCAACTGGCACAATGGCTTTTACTCCATTCACCTATATTGAGAGCATCTTGTAAAATCTCTAATCCATTTGTCAGCAAATCAAACTTCAGTCTGGGATAGCATTTGTTTATGAACTCAGCACCACCACATGCAACAATCCTGAGAGAAACACGCTTATCTTTCTGTTTGGATCCAGTCCCTGGTCTACAATGGATGCCTTCGCTGAACATTTATTGACAGTACTCGACACTTGAGACTAAATGCAAAGACAAAAGAAGTGGAAATTCAGCCAGGTCAAGTGTCTCATCTGATACTCTAACTGTGCGGACAAATCCAACAAAAGACTTTCATCACAAGCTCTCCAAGCCCAGCTCACATCTGTGCATCAGAAGTCCCGTTTGTAGGTGTTCAGCAGTTTCAAAAAGTCGTAGCACTCTGAATCAATATTGAATGAAATTCTAACCTACTATATAACCTATCCTACCACTTAGAAACATACTGGATGTTAACCGAATGAACATGTGTTCTTCTAAATGTGATTTAAGCAGCTCTATCCAAAATATATTCTTTAGAATTTTTTTTTAACATTTATATTTTATTAGACATTTTCAAAGACAAAAATATATATATATATACATGGCTCACACACATCACAAACAGGACAGGACAATAACATGAAGGGTGGGGAGGTAGGGGGATTACATTGTCAGTTACATTTTATGTATGCATATGGCGTTGTATTTATACATGTTTTGCTTCATAATATAGATTCATTGTTTCCTCATTATTATTATAAAACAAAAACATTAATAATAGATAAATAGTCAAATAAATAAGTGTTTATATATACACACATCTGGCCCTTCCTACATCCAGGACATGGTTAAACTGTACACCCCAGCGCGTGCACTACGCTCTGCATCAGCCAAACGACTCGCTGCACCCTCGCTGCGAGGGGGACCCAAGTTCCCATCAGCAAAAACACGTGGGTTTGCTATCCAGGCTCTAAAATGGTGGAATGAGCTCCCCATTGACATCAGGACAGCAGAAAGCTTACACATCTTCCGGCGCAGACTGAAAACTCATCTCTTTCGACTCCACCTTGAGCGATAGAATTACTAACAAATAACTGCTAACACAGCACTTATATACTAATAAAGGACTGGCTTATCTATAGCCAGTTGAGTAGCACTTGAAATGTTTGGCTCTATGAAACCTGATGTACTTATATGATTCTGTTTTCTTCAAGGTTGTGTCTTCCTGGTCGAATGTACTTATTGTAAGTCGCTTTGGATAAAAGCGTCAGCTAAATGCAATGTAATGTAATCTCTTCCTTTTCTGATTAATTCACCTCTTCATCCATTTCCCATTTAATTTAACTTCTTTCATTATTATTACCATTATTTTTCTGTTTCTTCATAGTTTATTTGTCTTTATTTATATTTATGTATTAATATTATGGTTTGAGTCCAGGAAAGCCCTTATCTTATCCCAAAGCCTGTTGTCTGGCTTAACCAAATATAACAGGGAGAAAGCAGCTTCTTCCATACTTAAGATGTTTAGGAAGTCCTCCAGCCATTTAAATTGAAGCAATTGGGCTTTCTGACTTTCCAGTTCATAAGAACGAGGCGTTTAGCTGGAAGGCATGCTAGGGCTATGAGTTTACTTGCACATTTTGATTTTATGCCATTGAGCAGGGATCCCAGCAAGCATGTAGCTGGAGTTAAGAGTATCTCTATGTTCAGGATCTCAGCGAGTGTATCTCCAACTACGTCCCAAAGACATTTTACAGCCGCACAGACAGGACCAAAGACAATGTAAAAGGGTACCCACTTCTGCACAACCATGCCAGCATAGGCCCGAGAGTGTTTGATCCATCTTTTTGAGTCTACAGGGTGTGATGTATGCTCTGTGAAGGATTTGTAACTGTATTACTCTAAACCGGACATACTTGGAGATTGATGTTGAGTTCGACCAGATTCTGTCCCACTCAACTGGGGTAAGGGTGATGCCTAATTCCTGCTCCCATCTTTTCTGTGTCTGCAGATTAGTATTGGCGGTGGAGGTGAGGAGAAGTTTATATATACCTGAAATCATTCCTTTCTCATTTGCAAGTCTTTATAGGTTCATATCAACCTATCTTTATACCTTTTGATGTTAAGTTTTTACATTTTGATTTTATTCTTTTGAAATTGATATCAGTATAGCGGATAAGCACATGAAGCATGAAAAAGCATGATTTATTTATACTGAGCATGGTACCAGGGTATTGTAAAACAAATGTGAAAAAGGGAGATGGAATAAAAGTAAACCCAATTCCTCTAAAATATTTGCTTCTTATTTTCATTGAAAGAAGAGGAATACTAATGTAGCCTTTAAACCTTTAAAAGATAATACTATGACCCATTTCACAACATTTAGTATAATTTTTAATATATAAGTCTTTACACCGCTGCTGGTCCAAAATAGTTCATATGCAACAATTATGAAATAATTACACTTTTTAAAAACATTTGTTTTATTCTAACATTAAAATGAAATGTTTATTAAGGGATGCACACCCAGGAAACAAAAAAACATGTCACAAGGTACAGTGCTGTATCCATAACCAATATTGGTTTTCTCTTAAACCAGTGATGAACAAAATAACATGTCTTTTGAAAGTGCTTACTAGCAGTAGCTGTAATTTTCCCAGTAATAATGTGCTCATTTAATTCTCTCTTATTGAGTACTGGAAATGCAGCATCTTGTGGGACCTTAGACAGACTGCTCATGTCTAACACTCAAACACAAAAACAACACAGTGACTCAACGGCAACAGATTGTGACACAAGCAGTGGGAAATATGTGTTTGTGTGGGCTCTTTGGAAATTACAACATCACTATTCTACAATTTAGGATTTTCCAGAGAGGGTTATTTATGAATATACGACCCTCCGGAGCGTTTGCAATTGCCGCAAATTGTTGTTTCTTACACGACCACTAGAGGTGCTAAACTTTCAAACGTGACTATAGGTCGTAATAAGCTGCTGAACAATCGACCTATTTGGTCGTTTTTTGGAGGAGGACAGGCTGGTCACCTCACTTCTCCTGTGCCTTGGCCAAACAGTCGCACTGGAACACACCGCAAAGACTTCTGCCGACGGCCAAGTAGCACGTACGAACTGCGCATGCGTGAGTGACAATAACTCTCCTTACCAGCAGGTCGTAGTAGTGTGTATTCGTCATTCAAAAGAGGCAACCAGAAGACTGCGTGATATATACAAACAACAAATAGCTACATGCTCCAGCTCGAGCCAAGCAGCACAGGGATGAACTATGCCAATATTTTTAACAGTATCGGTGCAGTGCCTTTTCAGTGGGGCAAGATATAGCAAATATGTGTGCCTATCCTGCTATTTGTGTTTATTCTTTTAATCACACAGCGTTGAGAAAAGAAAAAAAATTGCCTACATAACTGTCAGTTGCAGCCGTAGCATTATTATTGGTTTAACTAGCCTACTAACAGTATATATTTAAAACATTTTAAAATCTTGAACAGCTGCAACATTAAAATACTTCTAGGCAGATTGTGGACAGTAACAAAGTACATTTACTTAAAGGTGGGGTATGTAATTTTGGAGAAACCGGCTCGAGTGCGCTAGAATTTGAAACTACGCAGCAGAAAAAAATCTGCCTCTTCCTTCAGACTTCCTTACAGAGCCCCTCCTCCAACACACACGAACGCGCACATGACCAATGAGGGCACGAGATAAGTTTGTGCACGAGATGGAAGGCTGACAGGCAGGTAGGCCATCCAGTTATTTTAGCCGGGCTGGCTAAAATTATTGGTCGTGCTTTTTACAGCGCTACGGCTTCCACAGATGACATTTTTTAATGTATTTATTGTCAAAGCATTTAATATATTCATTGCTATCGGGATGTTAAGAGCATTCCATGGAATATAACAAAAAGTGTTTCTGAAATAAATTACATACCCCACCTTTAAGTACTGTACTGCTCCACTCCCATTCAGGCAAATAGTGTTTCGCTAAGCTGAACAGCCAATCAGAGTGATTTATTTTGCCGACAGCCTCCGATTCAACATGTCGAATCGGCCGCGGAAGGTGTCGGCACGGCCGAAAAGACACGACGGTGCGGGACACACCAATCTGAATAGGGATACATTCAGACATCTATCAACATCTATCGACGGCCGAAATCGGCTTGGTGTGTCCGTGCCTTAAAACTGACAAGGTTAAACGGATAAATGGATGGATGACTAAATCATGTACAAGTAATAATATATTAAAAAAAGAGTGGATAGCAAACTAAATACATCAATCCTTCAACTCACAGAAAAGTATCCACCCACATGAAGTTATGACTGATACAAAAATTGAGGAAATTGATAGTTAACCAGAAAGATAACAGCAACCTTCTGTGACAAAGAAAGGTATAGCATTGAACATACACAAAAACAAGCTAAAACGGAAAACTCTGAGTTAAAACAAAGCACCCATTGAGAGCAGTTGTGCGATCTGTGACCCTGATCAGGATGCAGCTAAGCACTTTAGGACAAAAGAGGAAGCTTCCTCAAAACACAGGATGTGGGGAATGGGGAAACATTGGCCAGGACACAAGTTTGCTGAGAATACTGAAACACAACCGCACACGTAGTTGTGTAGGCTAGAAGTGGCCAATGGTCAAGATCCAACTGGCTACAACACATAAGATAAGATAAGATATACATTATTGATCCCAAATTGGGAAATGTTTTAGTTACAGCAGCATAAAAAACAAGGCATTGCACATAATTAGCAGATGGTTTGCCGGTACCAACAAATTATGCACAACAAAGTGGGTTCAAGAAACAATTGTGTAACCATGATCAGTCAGTTTCCTCATTACCTTATTATTGAAGAAATAATTCAACATTATATTTCAAAGGTTAACTAGAGTGTGAACAAAGAAGAGGAATTTGTGAACCATACCTAAAAGAGACACCCTCTTATTTGGGTAATGGGACAGTTCCACCCTTCATGTTTCAGTCCATCTTCACACTGTCACAGAAATATGTGTTGGGAGGAGAGGAAATTAAAACACAAACATCACACACTGTGCATAAAAACCACATTCACTTCACATTAAGGCTGGGTGTTTGGGAATGACAGCTCAGAGATGACAGCACTGCACTGAGCTCTCGATATTGCATAATGATATGGACACATACTGTTTATATACAGTAAATAAAAACGAAAATAGTTGACAATGTCAACCACTGTATCCACTGTCCACGTTAGCTTACTATATGTTTTAGTTATGTCCAGTTTGGGAATGTTTAGCTAGCTCTCTTGTTCACTAGCTCACAGCTAACGGTGAGCCTGTCATCCCCTTGTTTTTAAATATATTCCCACCATTAATCGCAAGCCATTTGTCTATTAACATTCACAAATGTGACTCATTTAGCACGATAGCTCACCCTTTTAAGTTGACGTCAAGGCAGCAAAGTGTGTGAGGATATTGGTCAGAGAGGATCTCCTCGGCTAATGACAGTTAGCTAGCCTTCCAGCTAGCCGATCCCACCGGCCGGGTTGGTGGCTCCCGGCGCCGGGGAAAGCAGGCTGCTTTCTACGGTCTGTCACTGTCAGCCTCTCGGCCAGATATCCGTGACAGTGGGCGTTACTCCACACACGCTTATGCTCCCTCAAAAAAAATAAACCCACTCGCGTGTTGGGTTGTAAGGCACACAGTTACATAAAATGTGTCCAAAATGTCCATTCAAAAGGACTCAAGCTGAGGATGTTATTAGCAGCTTGACTGCTGGTCGACTGGACCAGTTGTATTTCTGCGGCACTGCAGCCACGCTGTCGGTCCAGCTCCCCTCCCTTCCTCTACACACACAGACACTAAGTGTGGACCGAACTGGGTGTGATTTATCACTATAATGTACTAGTATTTATTAGTAGTATATATTTCTTATGCTATTACAGTGCCACATCATTCCACGAGGGTGCAAAAATATGAAGATAATAAGGCATGTTTCTTTGTTTATGGGCGTGGCACATTGCTTGCAGTTGCCCAGAATTTCGTAAAATAAGATGACGTTATGAATCTCTATGGAGGGATATTACACACACAAAGACAGTCTTAAAAGGAAACAATATAAAAATTGAATGAATACAAAGAAATAACTTTTAAACTTTACAATCCTCACTGCAGTGACTTCTAAGAGTTCTGTGTAGCTACATCATAGTGGATGCAACCCAAATATTATGAATAATTAAAAAGAATATAAAGTATAATAACATAACAGCGTTCAATAATGAATTTACCTATATCATAAAGGGATAGGGAAAAAATATAAAATATTCACAAACAAATGTTAAAAAACATTTACAAATATGCAAACTGTTAAACACACAGGTGGGAAACGTTTTTTATATCTAAGACCCCATACAGGCTATTTTCTGTGGTCCTTTCAACTGAATGCTATGGCATCACAGGACACACACAATTAAGAAATTTCAAATATTGCTAAATACGTAATAATATAATATAAATTAAATAATACATTTAGTGTAGCATGTTATAGGCTTAATCAAATAATTGTTCTGTACCAGATAGTTAAGGGAGATTCAGATTTTGAGCTCTCAGATGATGAGAGAGATGAGGATTTCACACCTGGGATAGAAGAGGGTCAAGAAGGCGGGGGGGAAAGATGCAGGAGGCTCCATGAGCGCACATATACAGACATAGAGACAGAGGGACGAGCTTGAAAGAAATGGCCCTCTGTGGGCCAAGAGTAGCACGTATGTCTTATTGTTGTTTTTATTTGAAGTGGAGCCATAAACAATTAGAATTGCCTCAGGAATGCCAAGTTTGTTTATATGAGCATGGTCAAATGGAGACCACATCCATAAAACTAATCAAGATGACCCATACAGCCTGTGCCGACTGGAGTCAATTAGGTACTTTTCCCAGTACATTGACCACAAAGTCTTTGAAGATCTGGAAAGATTCACCAAAAACCAAACTAGTTTTTTAGTGACCAAATAAACAGCAATGTTCAGATCAATTACTTATTTATGTTTTAAATAAAGGTGAATGTATTATTGTATTAATATCACATAACCATAATACGTTACAGTCCATCTGTTAATTTTGGATGTCTTTTCAAACTAAAATGGTCCTGACGTGGACATACTGTAACGTTTAAAAATTAAATTTAAAAAGTCTAAATTGCAAGATGTTTTTTTAACCCTAAATGGGTAGGAAATAAAAAATAAAGAAGATTGGAAAACATTGTTTTTCCTCGGTTCCCAGGAGGATACAATGGCCCTTTCTCGTTTAATCAAATCCCCCTCCTCGACTCCTCGACTCCTCGGTCCTCCGGTAGTGACCCGGAAATGAATTTTAGCGCGCCATGTTGAAGGACATCTCATTTCTCTAAATGCACTTCGAGGACCGAGGATCGAGCATCGAGGAGGCTCTCTGGAGGAGCTATAACCGAGGATACACTGATGGGTCCTCCACGGTCCTCCACGGCTCCTTCGTGGATGCATTTCCGGGAACAGAGATGTTTCAAAGAGTCGTGACGTACGGCCGGACTTATCTCAGCCAATGACAGCTATGCATGCATCCCCTGGATATTATTTGTATTAACTGCTCTCATCGCAACGCGATGTTTACAGAGAGAACAGCTGTGAGGTCCGTGCAGAAAGCAGAACAGTGTGTATAATATCACTCAGTATAACAGGCCTACAAGCTGTATTTGCTGTAGTTTAGTAGATAGGCTATCTACAAAGAGTCGATATTTTTCTAAAACCATTTAGTGCTTCACATAATAAAATACACAACGGCTGTAGCCTGATTATATGCTTTAGGAGCTGTAGGTGCGTGTGGTACAGTGTGTGTGTGTGTGTGTGTGTGTGTGTGTGTGTGTGTGTGTGTGTGTGTGTGTGTGTGTGTGTGTGTGTGTGTGTGTGTGTGTGTGTGTGTGTGTGTGTGTGTGTGTGTGTGTGTGTGTGTGTGTGTGTGTGTGTGTGTGTGTGTGTGTTGTACAGTGTGTAAGTGTGTGTGTTGTACAGTGCGTAGATGCAGCGGACAGACAGGTCTCAGTTGGTTTGGTGTCCTCTGCTTACTTTTAATACTTGTAAATAAAACGTTTGGCCCGTAATTTATTTCCCTCATTGTAGCGACCAGAGAGGGGGGGGGGGTATATCCAGTCTCTGGTAGTGTTACGTTATTATGAGAGTGCTCTGTTTGATTCTGAAATGGTATATTTATATAAATATATTCAAAGTAAATATATAAGTGGTCATGAACACATCTGTCCATCAGACAGAGGGCTGCTGTGCCTCCTGTCATCATTAATGGACGTATTTTTCAAATGACCGCTCAGATGAGAGGAGTTCTCATTTCTCTAACCGCCTGCTGCTTCCCCTCCTCTTTCCTCGGTTCCCCTCCTCGGCTCCTCGGCTCACATCTCCTGTGGGCGGGACTAAAGAGGCTTCTCAATACTCAAATTTCCCCTCCTCGACTCCCCTCCTCGGTTCCCCTCCTCGAGACTTAGACCCGCCCACAGGAGATGCGAGCGGAGGACCGAGGAGGGGAACCGAGGAGAGAGGAGGGGAAGCAGCAGACGTTTAAAGAAATGAGAACTCCTCTCCTCTGAGCGGTCATATTAAAGCGACGTCCGTTCATTATTACGTGGCAACAGCTGCATCAGCTGTCGAGTGTTTTGTCATAGCGCTGTATTTTATAATCTCTGTTAGATCAGCTGAACATTGTTCCCCCACATATTTACTTTGAATTAATTGAGAGTGCGGTATAATGAGACAATAACAGGCTACAGATGCGGACACACACACACAAATATATGTATATAAATATATACAATTTAAAGTATGAGAGCACTCTCATAATAACGTAACACAATCAGAGACTGGATATATCCCCCCTCTCTCTGGTCGCTGAAATGGGGAATTTAAATTACGGGCCAAAAGTTGTATTTACAAGTATTAACTTGTAATAATAATAAGCCACTTACAATTTTCCGTGAGATCAGGGAGCGGATATAAGATGGAAGTTTCCCTAACATACAAAGCCATGTTAGGGAAACTTCCATCTTATAACTGCTCCCTGATCTCACGGAAAATTGTAAGTGGCTACTGCCTGAGATCGAATGCTGTAGTTTTATTAAATGTGCCAACTGCTAGGACTGTCTTAGGGAAGACAGCTTTTAGATGCGCAGCTCCTCTGTCTTGGAATAGTATGCAAATTAAATGGAAACTGAACAATCTAGTGCCACTAAATGTTTTTAAAGCTCGGTTGGATGCTAGTCAATCGGAAGCTATTGGTACCTGTTTATGTGGATAATTATGTAAATGATGCTGTATGATGTCCTTTTGTTGTTCTATTTATGTTTTTATGTTTCATGTGGAACTACTTGAGCAGGTCTCCCTTGAAAAAGATATCAATGATCTCAATGGGATTTATCTGTATAAATAAAGATTTGAAATTAAATTAAAAGTAAGCAGAGGACACCAAACCAACTGAGACCCGTCTGTCCGCCGCATCTACGCACTGTACAACACACACCTACATACCGTACCACACACACACATACACACACTGCCTACAACACACACTTACAGCTCCTAAAGCATAATCAGGCTACAGCCGTTGTGTATTTTATTATGTGAAGCACTAAATGGTCTTAGAAAAATATCGACTCTTTGTACTACAGCAAATAAAGAGAGTAATGTAGGCCTGTTATACTGAGTGATATTGTACACTGCTCTGCTTTCTGCACGGACCTCACAGCTGTTCTCACTGTAAACATCGCAACGCGATGAAAGCAGTTTCTAAAATAATATCCAGAGGATGCATGCAGAGCTGTCATTGGCTGAGATAAGTCCGGCCGTGCGTCACGCCTCCACCGTTCCCGGAAATGCATCCGCGGAGGAGCCGTGGAGGAACCATCACTGTATCCTCGGTTATAGCTCCTCCAGAGAGCCTCCTCGACACTCGATGCTCGGTCCTCGGTGTGCATTTAGAGAAATGAGACGTCCTTCAAAATGGCGCGCTGAAATTCATTTCCGGGTCACTACCGGAGGACCGAGGACCGAGGAGTCGAGGAGGGGAAATTTGAGTATTGAGAAGCCTCTTAAGTCTCGAGGATAGGAGTCGAGGAGGGGAGTCGAGGAGGGGAGTCGAGGAGGGGAGTTAGAGAAATGAGAAAGGGCCAATGTGTCATGCCACCAATCATCGGCGTTATCATCGGGCATGGACTGTACCAAGAAGCAGGGACGCCCGAGGATCCCCTGCAGGTTATACCGATATGTCTTAAAAAAAATAGATATAATTTGTGATGACACCATATTTGCTTTAATGTGAAATAACAACTGCAAAGTGTTAAGCCGCTGTGCATTTAACTTGTATTATTGCTTGCTGATGCTTTCTGTATTTGCTCAAGTCACGGTTTCACCCCTCCGGTGAAAGCAGTGTCAGCTTGAAGTAGGAACTGTCCATTATGGAAAGCCAACAGTGCCACAAACGCCAGCATTTCAAAATCCCCCCACCCTATCTATTTATCACCAGCTTATGTTAGTATTAAATATACAATGTATTCTGGTAACTATTAAAATAAAGACATTGTATAGTGTTCACAGTATTTTTATTTTATAAATTATACATTAACAATAATATTACAAAAAAACCTACATCTAAATAAATATATAATCTAAAATATATGCATTTGATTTAAAAATAAAAATAAAATTCTAAATTGAAATAGCAACAAAGAAATGATTAAAAAAAACGTTAAAGTATTTTTTTTTCTTTTTCTTGTTAATATCCATTATCTTCTCTGTTATGTATC